ACGGAATCTTTTTTTCGAATGCACTTTTTTAAATGCGTAAAATAGTGGTGATAAAAAAATATATAATTTTTATTGATAATAAAAGTGATAAAATCAATCACAGACAGTGATGCTACGGCAAATTGTTATCGATACAATGGAGAAAATAATAAAAACAAAAAAGCAAACAGATTAATTCCTAAAATCAATCCATAGACTACTAAGAGTCCAAAATGTTCCATGTAGCTCCATTTCTCACAGAATGCATTATTTCTAGTTTAATTCCGCATGAGGCCTTTTCGCCAGCAAAATAGTGCTCAAGTGTTAACCGAATTAAGTTAGTGCCCAAGTGTTAACCGAATTAAGTTTCCATTTCCAGCCAAGAAACATGAATGAAAGGAGCCCTATTTTGCCGGCCGAATAGGCTTTCAATAGAATAGTGAAATGGCTTTCAGTGAATAATTGTTTTCAGCAAGACAATTTATTTCTCGTTATCTTAATTATCATGATTTCGCTTTTTATCATATCAATGATATTTAATAATATTTATCGAGACGGACGGTAATTTTCAAGATGTTTATGTCTCATCGCTTTCGTTCTCCGATGCAGTAAACAACGCAAAACACAAAACGAGGGAAATGATAATGAAAATCGAATAATTTTCATCGATTTTGCCGAAAATTTTTAGCATATATAAATTATAAGCCAGGATAGACAATGGGATAAGGGAAATAACAGTTTGGGTTATCATTATCAGACCGAGAGTGATAGGAATTTGGTTCCTATTCATCACATAAACAAATTTCGCATTAAAAAAAAATCCAAGAATGTGACGCAAGTGATCCATTTATCCGATCGTCGAGTAATTACTTCCTCGGCGATAATTTCTAATCATTTTAACTACTTTTACTGATAAGCTAAAAATGGAAAAGCAAAACGTTGCCTGTCTTTATCACCAAATGAAGTATTTATCAGTGGATTTTTGCCGAAATTCAATTTTGGAATAATTGTTAGATTTTTTGCCATAAGAAAATTATTTCAATATATATTTTTTATTTAGTTTTGGGCATAAATATTGATGCATATATGAGCAAAAGAGCAGAATCATCTTCAGATCCGTTTCCGTTACTCACTCGAATCAGTTTTATTGAATTATCTCTCCAATCTGATAATCCTTATCTCTCGGCCTGATAATTGTTATCTCTCCAATTTGATAATCCGAGCAATTAAACTCCTCGGCTATCATGACTTATATTTTTATGCTAAAGATATTTGGCAAAATCGATGAAATAAATGGATTTTCATTATCATAACACAGCATGTGCGATGAGATTTGGTGATAAAAAGAGCTAAAGCTGACCATGAATATATATTAAATTGATATAAATTGGCTATTGAGCAAAGAATATTTCTTTTGACAACATCTTTTGACAAACGCCTTTCATCACAAAAATAAAGCTAAGGAGGGGGGGGGGGGGGGGGGGGGGGGAGGGGAGGGCAATATAGCCAAGTAATAAAGTTTACCCTCTTGAAAAGGCAAAAGTTCGAGTCTTGAATCAGACAGGGGATGCATTTGTCATTAGGGAATCCCGGTGGTTCTACCAGCCCACCTATACTTCTCTCCTCGAACGGTTCCTTTCTAACTGCCAGCGGAGCTCGTCTAACGGGAAATGACGAGCATTTCGAACATTTGCTGCAAAAACTGAAAAATTTCGGCGTGGGCTGCGATTTTTTTACGGACCGCATTTTTTTTGGTTCGCTGTTTTCATTTATCATTTTGAAAATCACATTTTGTTTGGTTGTTTCTTTTTATTTCTCCTCTGCTATTTTTTTATTTTTGTTTTTTGAATAGTTTTTTATTATAAATATTATTAAATATTTTTGCATAAAATGAAAAAATCAATTTTAATAATAATTTAAATAATTAAATAAATTTAAATAAAATAAATAAAATAAATAAATTATTATTTAAAAAAATGTCGAATTTTTTTTTTAAATAATTTTTAATTTTAGATTTTAAAAAGAGAAAACAATTTAAATAAATTATGTACGCGCGATTTACGAAAAAAATGGAAATTTTGCAAAATATTGCAAGAAAATTTTCATTTCGACAGCGTTCATTTTTGATTGCATTTGGTGGCGGTTTAACGGCAACGTTTGCAGCAATCGTTTACATCGAACAAACAAATCAAAAACGTTTCGCCAATGCTATGGTACGAGTTTTTTTTCCTCTTTTTTTTTGCTTCTAACATTTATCATTCATCATTTTTTTTTTTTTTGCTAAATTCACTTCACTTCTCTCAGTTGATTCGCTTCGAGTAGTGTCATCGTTCATCATTTTTTGTTCGTAACGGAAGTAGAATCGCGTAGAATCGCACCGAAATATATGCAACAATCCATTCCGCGTGCTGTTCCGCTCTATGATTTTATCGCTCTTTTGTCGGTGCTAATAATTGAGCGCTATTTCACGTCCACAGTTTCGTTCTTTTGCCAAGAGTGTACTATAATACTTATTATTTAAAGCTTAATACGAGTGGTACCACCTCCCTGAATTTCTATCCAGATTTTTGAAAGACGGGCTTTTGTCGCTCTTTTGTCGGTGCTAATAATTGAGCGCTGTTTCGCGTCCACAGTTTCATTCTTTTGCCAAGAATGTACTATTATACTTATTATTTAAAGCTTAGTACGCGTGGTACTACCTCCTTGCATTTCTATCCAGTTTTTCGAAAGACTGACTATTGTCGCTCTTTTGTCGCTATTGGTGGTCAAGCGTTATTTCATCTACGGTTCAAAAAGTATAATTGTTATTGAAAGTGAAATCCGCGCGATATTTGTCCTCCTGCTCTTCTTTTAGACTTTCGAGAGGCGGGTTTGTTCGTGAGGGAAAAAGAATCACTTAAAATCGTTTTAAAATTTGTGCAACAACTCACCCACTAAGCCATTCCGTTATTTTGTCTGTTTTTTTGTTGCTAATGGTCGAGTATTATTTCGTCTACAATCTCATTCTTTCGCCAAGACTATACTTATTATTGAAAGTGAAATCCGCGTGCCATCCTGTCTTTCCCTTCACTATAGCTTATAGTTCAATTTATTACCGCAAACATCAAAATTCATTCTGGCAATAGCAGGTGTGTTATAAAATTCAGATGGTGATATAGGTCCCTCTGTCCCCAAGCGCTTTTCTAGTTCAAATTTTTTATTTTACGAACAATCAGTGGAAGGAATTTAATTAAAAATGGTCGGCGCCAAACAGGCTTTGTTGCATATGAAATTAAATTAAAAATATGAAATTGAAATTGAAATTAATATTTAAATACCATCAAAATTCGATAATTCTATTTAAAATTTTCTTAATCGATTTCAACTGGTTCATAAAACGATCCAGTAATTTTCATACAAAACATGGCTTGAATTTTTATGTCTTCCGTTTTTTCTCTCTTACTGCTAATACTACAATCAGGCTTCGTTATTTAATGTCTTCTACTCTATAATGTGACTAAGTTCACATGTAAACATCTGGATAATTAAGCTTTAATTGTTTAAAAATTTTAAAAGCCACTATGTAAAAAGATATTAAAAAATGAAAATAATTAATAAAAGACATTGGGACTCAACCACTCTTGCTGTCTAGACAATAGGAAAAATAATTTTCACAAAATATCTAAGTACATCTTGAGTTTTGAGAGAAAAATAAGCTTAATGACTTGATTAACAGGAGTTAGTGAATTTGATAAAGAATTGAGTAAATTTATGAATAGTTTTTTTCGATATAACCTCAGTTGGAATTCCATGCTAATGAAACTAAAAATGGTAATAAACATTCTTTTCTTCGCTATTCGGCGATATATGGGTAAGATCATTTTGCCACTTTCATTTTATTTCTAAAATTTTTTTTCAACTTTTCCATACTAATTTATACTTATATATATAAAATCTCTTTTTGACACCTTTATGAGTGGTAATAAGGATCATCTTTTACTTCGCATCCTCTACCTGGGAGACCTTACAGATTGAGGGTTCTACGCAGTATTTTACATGTTCCTAACAGTGCGATCTTCTGAACAGAGTCTTCAGTGCAGAGTCAAGGAAGATTTATATTATATTGTTTTTTTTTATTATTGTTTATTGTTGTATTGTTTTATTATTGTTTTCTTTTTTATAAGAATTATATTGTTCATCATTATTTACTTTTTATTCTGATTAAATATTCAATATATTAAATATTAAATATTTATGCATTTATTTTTATATGTTTTATATTATTTTAATCAATTAATTTTTGAGCTTTAGGAAATTTGTTGCAGTTCCATGTTCAGTTGTACTTTAAAATTCAAATCCTCTTTAAATCATAATCATTGGCTTAAATTGTGACTAGGTGGCATTCAATTGAATTAAATCAAATTTTCAAGCTAAAATGCTTTTTAATCCATATTTATCTGTATTTAATTAAAATATTTTTATCGAATATATTCCATATATTTGCAGGAAAAACATTTCAAGAACGCATATGCTTTGAGCACTAATTTGGGACTGAACAACCGTCCTCCGGAAAAGTTACCAACTCGAATACAGCTTAAAGATGTCAGTTTTCTCAGTTAATTTTAATATGCTTAATAGTTAAATTTTTTTACTTATTACTTATTGTTTATGAAATTGTTTTCTAACTAATGAACCTCTTTAGCAAAAAATTATACTATAAAAATATTGATGAAAAATTTGCATATTAATTTCTCATCCATTTTTATTTAAAAACAACTGTCATTTATGAAAATATTTTTTATTAAAATTAATTATATCTTCATATTTAACATGTAATTGTAATTTTAATAATTTAATATAATTCATATAATTTTTAACATACTGTTTGCCGATGAAAATTGGCGATTCGGAGCCTTTAGCTGAACCGCTGCCTCATTAGCTGAAATTTTTCTTAATCGCTATGTTAGAGATAAAATCGCTGGAGATTTACGTGATCATATTATTTTGCCTATTTTAACTTCTTTTTTTATAGATATTTTTATTGGTTTCTTTTTTACTTAGCTATTTTAATTTTATAGGCGCTAAAAAGCGATGAATTTGATGTGCTTGTTGTAGGTGGTGGTGCAACTGGTGCTGGAGTTGCTCTAGATGCGCAAACACGGGGTATGGTTTTTAATATTTTACTTATGTAAATATCAAAAAATCAATTGGTTTTTCAGCCCTTTCTTCACAAAAATTTCGTCATTTTCATTTCCTGATTAAACTTAATAATAATAAATTATAAAGGTTAATTATTATATTATTATCTACAATCAGTTTTGTGAATCTAATATCTTTTTTCATTTTTTAATTTATTTCAAAAAATGTTCAAATGTATTATAAAATGTATTATGTATTATATGATTTATTTGGAGGTTTAAAGACTGCTTTGGTGGAATATGATGATTTTTCGAGTGGAACTAGTTCACGTAGTACAAAGCTGATCCATGGTGGAGTCCGATATTTGCAAGCAGCCATTTTTGGTTTAGATCTGGAACAATATCGAATGGTTAAAGAGGCATTATTTGAACGGGCGAACCTGCTCAATTGTGCTCCACACTTGTCTTATCCATTGCCAATAATGCTTCCTATTTACAAGTGAGCGGTTAATATATTTTTTATTCGATCATTTTGCTGCGATTCTTCTTTGTCTTCCAACAGCAATTACTATTTCTATTTTGGGGAAGAAAAGGGAAATGCAGGTGAGTGACATTTAGTAATGTGTTCATTCTTATTAAATCATGGGAAGGCATGGGAATCGAGCTGATGGAATTTGAAGGTTGAATTCAGTCGTGCATAATATCAATTGAACTCTTTTACTATTTATTTACTATTTATCATTGAAATTTTAAAGAAGTTGAGAATTAGTAAGGTTTAAGGAATTTGGCCTAAAACAAAAATTTCATTTGAAATTTGAATTTTGATTTTTAAATTTTCTTATCTTTTCCATTCATTTTAAAGACGCTTTGATGAAACTTTTTTGTTGTTAAATTATTTGAAAATATAGCAAAATCAAAAACCAATTTAGAATTATATTTTTTTTTCATTTTTATTCTATATTTTTCTTAGAAAATTTAATTTTATGGAAATTTTATTAAAAAATTTTTGGAGGTTTCTTTATAACATCAATTTTTAGACTGTGGCAGGTCCCTTATTACTGGCTTGGTATTAAAGCGTATGATTTTGTGTCGGGCAAACGATTACTTAAAGCTTCTTATTATATCAATAAAGAGCAAGCTTTAGAACGTTTTCCCGCATTGAAAAAAGATTCATTAAAAGGCGCACTCATTTATTATGATGGTAGACGCTTTCCAATTTTTTAATTTTTTTGAAGCCACTGATCTTTTGAAATGATGTTCGTATAGTATCGGTTTGAGTGGAGTTCAGGTCAACATAATGATGCACGGATGAATCTTTCAATAATTCTTACGGGTATTGGCCATGGCGTTAAAGCAGTGAATCATACCAAAGTAGAAAAACTGTTAAAAGATGCAGATGGGAAGATCTGTGGAGCAGCTGTGAGAGATATGGTATGATTTTTTTAAAATTAAATTTAATTTATTTTTTATTTTTAATTTATTTGAAAATGTGTATTTAAAATATATTTTTGAAAGAAAACAATTATTTCAAAATTTTCCAGAATTTAAAAAAAACCAAATATAATAGTTTATAAATAAAGATAACGAACGAGCAATATAATATCAAAGCAAAAGCAGTAGTGAATGCAACTGGTCCCTTTACTGATTCAATAAGACAAATGGCTGATCCCGACGCTAAACCGATATGTCAGCCGTCCGCTGGTGTGCACGTTGTACTTCCTGGTTATTACAGGTCATATAATAGTTCATTCAGGTCATTTGAGCAATTTACTCCCACAGAGTACTATGGTATTATATTGAGCTAAAACCATCTTACAAATCGTCGTTTTAATTTTAATCCTTGATAATCAAAAAAAAAATTTTCACTTATTCAGCAAAAAAATTATAAAAATTTTTTGTCCTTTGCGATTTTGATTCCTCAGCAAAATTTGATTTTTTTTGTATATATTTGGATCCTTAAAATTAAAATTAAAATTAATATTAAAATTAATACTAATTTTTAATTTAATTTTAAAAATGAAAATTTTTCTTAGTGATATTTATTTCCTTTATGTTTTGTCAAATATTAGTTTTTAGCTGGTTGTTGCTTGACCTTGGGAGATCGAGACAGAATCCAAGGCAGTCTGCGCTAAGCACTGAAACAAACAAATAGCTTCATGTAATATTTTCGTAATCTTGGCTTATTATTTAGTCCTTCGAATACTGGACTTTTGGATCCAGCAACTAGTGATGGTCGCGTGATATTTTTTTTACCATGGGAAAAAATGACTGTTGTGGGCACGACTGATGCTTCCACTCCTGTCACTTTCAATCCTATGCCAACCGATTATGAAATTGAATTTATTTTGAATGAAATTAGAGGCTATTTGTCAAAGGATATCAACGGTTTGTTCACTGAATTCATTTTTTAAAATAATTATCTTTTCATTTAATCCGTATAATGCGAGATTTTTGTCCATTTAAATCATTCAATATGCCCATATGGTATCTTAAATGGTGAAAATTATGTTATATTGGAGTTGGAGTTATGTTATAAAATTATGTTATATTTAAAATATTCTTTTCAAATTTTATTGTACCGTACTTTTTTGTACCTATTTTTAAAGGTGAGATTTAAAATAATAATGAAATTATTTTTTCACTCAGGTATATCTTTTTTCAAATGACATATCTATAAAAAATATGAAAATTCATTTAAATTATTTTTAATTGTGTGGAATTGATTTTATCATTTTTAGTACGACGTGGTGATGTAACGAGTGCTTGGTCTGGTTTACGCCCTCTGGTTCGAGATCCTAATAAGAAAGATACGAAGTCACTTGCTCGAAACCATGTAATCGAAGTGTCGAAGAGTAATCTGGTATCCATAGCAGGTTACCTTGTAAAGCATTATTGTTTGGCGATATCATTTGGCTCTCGATTATAAAATGAATTTTAAGGTGGAAAATGGACGACATATCGGAGTATGGCTGAAGAAACAGTTGATACTGTTATAAAGGCGTGTAATCTAACTCCTTCTAATCCATGCGTTACGGCTGGTCTTCTTTTAATGGGTGCGCATAACTGGTATCCCCTGCTACATATTCGTCTGGTTCAGGATTATGGACTTGATGAAGATGTTTGTTTTGAATTGTAATTCAATTTAAAATTGATAGAAGTTTTTCTGAGAGAAAAATATTATTAAATATTCTTTATTCTCCTTTATTTGAAATATTTCTAAAGTTGAATTTTGCAGGTTGCAAAACACTTATCAAATACTTATGGAGATAGAGCTTTTGCTGTCGCAGGAATGTGTAGAGTGACTGGTCGTCGATGGCCCATTGTTGGTCATCGATTGCATAGCGAATTTCCTTATGTGGAAGCTGAAGTAATTTTTTTAATCATACAATGTTATATATTTGATTGTTTATTCATTTAATAATTTTGAGGTGCGCTATGCAATTAAAGAATATGCGATGACAGCAGTCGATGTCATTGCACGACGCTTACGTTTGGCTTTTTTGAATACCTACGCTGCTCATGAAACACTAGAAAAAGTCGTCGATATAATGGCTAAAGAATTACAATGGTCTAACGCTGAACGCAAAGTGAGGATTTGCACATTTTTAATATTTTATGGTAGAAGAATGCTATCATTTTTATTCCTTAATACTTTTAAAAGAAAATTGGAATTCTTACTTATCAATTAATTTATCTAATTAAATTATTAATTTAATTAATTATTTAATTAATTAAATTATTTAATTATTATTATTTAATTATTTAATTTAATTTATTTATTAATTTAATTCATTTATTTAATTTATAAATTTAATTAAAAATTTAATTAATTTATTTAATTTAATTAATTTCTTTATCTTATGTTATGGGTCTCAATCACTAGAGGTTTGATTCCAAAAATCTGGGTAATTAGATAAAATGAAGGAGGAGAAGAAATTCAGAATGGTTTTTGACCGTTTGATTCTTTTGTAAAGATTTTAAAGTATTGGAATTTTTTGCTTCCAGAGCCAGCTGGAAGCAGCTCGTTTGTTTCTTAACGAGCAAATGGGTCAAAATGCTCGTGCTCTATCATTATCAAACGTACCGCTTTATTTAACACACGATGAAATGAAGGCAGTTGAAGAAAAATTTAATTTACTTGACAAGGATCGTAAAGGACATATTACAGTTAACGATTTGCGGCGTCATTTTAAAGTAATTTGATTTCATTTGATTTTTTTACTTTATACTTTATATTTTTATATTTGTAGTAATTATATTTTTAATAAGGTTCAACGAAATTCTTGGGATTATATCATTGGATAATTTACTCTTATTTTAATTTTACTCTATTATTTTATGCGAGATAATATGAAGAAATTATAATCTAGCGAATTACATAGATTTAGATTGCTTCTACTGAGGAACTTCTGGTAATATAATTAGTGTTGATGTTCTGATATCGCTGTTATGGCGCATCATGATTAAGTTTTTTCTTTTTGGTCTCAAAGAATCCATCTTATGGGGCGTTCCTTAATACTCTTAAAGCCACGCAACTGCTGTTTCCTTACCATTTCACTGATCATTCCTTAAGTTATATGTGCTTTATGAAGAAGGTGCGATAATTTCCTATGATCGCTTAATTAAGCCGACGTCTCCATCTTGAGGGCCATGTTTCTCCAATAGTGGTTTCTGTCCCGCCTTGTTGATGTCGTTGCAATTCTTCATTGTCCGCTAGCCACTGTCTCCTGACATTTATGCTTTTGGAGCTTTTTCAGTTGCTTTTTTATATAGATACCTTAGATACCCAATTTTCTATTAGTATGCCCTAGCGTGGAAGTGGCTGACTTTCGGAGACATTCCTTTAGTTGGGGAAAATCGGAATTCTTCGAACGGCGACTGATTAAAATATAATCAATCTGGCTAAAGTGTTGGTTGTCCAGAGAGTTCCACTTGACTAGATATTTTCTACGATGCTGGAAGCAAGTATTAGTAACAAAAAGTTCATACTCTTCGACATAATGAAGAAGGCCTTGGCACACCGGTCTCTGATGCCATATTTGTCAGTTATTGAGATCATCACGGCTGCATTATGACCTACGCGTGCTCTCTCCCCCGATCGACGTTTAATGCCAAATGATATCTAAATTTTCTATCATATCATATTTTGTTTTACTCTTCTATAATGTTAGTTGTACAGATTTGATATAAGGATTTATGGAGACTATATTTGAAAATGTTTCCTTAGGCCTTAAACTAATTAATTGTCGTTATTGCGTTCATGATTTTTTTTTAAACATACAAAATACCTATTAAATAATAGGGTTCTGGGTGGTGTATATTTTTAAAATCTCAATTGCGGGGATAAAATCGGATTGAACCGAATATTGTTTATAATTTTAATATCATAATAAAAATATTGGCTGCTTCAGCTCGCGCTGACATTTGTAATTTTATGCATTCATAAAATGATTAATATAGTTTTTTGGGTATATATAAATTTTTGCGTATAAATAAATTTTTTCAAAACATTTTCTTTGAGAATTTTTTTCTCTTTTTTTTCATTAGAATTGCGAGATTATTTTTTTGAAATTGGATTTTTTTATTTTTATTACTTCTAGTTTTAGCATATAAAGTTTTTATTGTTCGATAAAATTTAAAATTAGAAATCGAGTTGAATTTAAATTTTTTTTATCAAATTAAATTAAATTTTGGAAAAATAAAATAATTTTATAATTTAATAATTCAGGAACACAGTCAAAAAATCGATGAACTTTTATTGCATGAACTTCTCAATGAAGTCGACTTGAATAAAAATGGCGAAATTGAGCTCACAGAGTTTTACCAAGTTAGTTAGTTTACATTCCGTTATTCTATTCTACTACTATTATTATATAATTCGTTGATATTTAAGCAATATTAAGATTATTGCATTTTCACAAATTTTTATTTTCAGCTATATAGCGGATTAAAAGGTGGTCAGATCTCTCAAAATCGATTGGTCAAATATTTGGAAGAAATACAACAGACAAGTGCAATTCCAGTGTTTCGTTCTGGTGGTGGGGTTTAGGAAAGATATTTCATTCATTGCATATTTGATGATATAATAGCATTCTTTTATATCCAATTTATTTCATCGATATGCTATTCTGTAGTTGTAATTTTTCCATAATTTTATTTTATTTAATAATTTCGTATTTAGAAAAATTCCGTAAATTCTGTTTTTTCATCGTCAGATATTTAGGAAATTCATAAATTCATTCATATTTTAATCTTATCTTTTCATTTTTTTATATTATTTTTATTATATTTTTCCTATTTGCTATTTGCTTTATGCTATTTTTCGCTATTAATTGTGAATATGGATCAATTATCTTTTTATTAATATAATCCAAACCAAACTATTTTTTATGCTGTTTTTGGCATTTGTAACAAAATTTTGGTCGTTAAAATTTTTGTATGATAAGTAAATTTAATATCTGATATTTTTATAGTATCAGATTTTATAATAATATTTGATATCTAATATTTTTCTTGTTTATTAAGAATAAACAAGAGTGTGCGTTTTAGAATAGAAATTACCTTATCAGAACTTTTTTCAAATTATTTTTATTTTAGTATTAAATATGAAGTTTTACAATCATATTGGATTGTTTTCGCCGGGATATTGTAATTTATTCATTGTGTTGGTTTAGCTTTTAATGTTTAATGTTATCTTATCTCTTTGCCATTTATATCTGAAAATTGGCAAATGTCATATCATAACTAAATAAATAAATTAGGAATATAACGATGTGTATATATATATATATATATAATGCTAAAAGTTATTCTTACATTATAAGAGAATTCATTAGCGAATGAAAGTATCTCTCTGAATTGCTTAATTACTAGCATAAGTCGTAGTCGTAGTTTATTGGTATATCGTTAATGGTTTTGATTTATTTTTTGAAATTTTTCTCGAAAATTGGTTTTTTTTTGAAATTTTTTTCTAAAATTTGCTAGTAATTTGAAAAAATAATTCATATAGGTGATTATCATTTATTATCATTATCAATTATCAATCATTTAAAACGTAATATTGAGATTGAGAGAGATTATAAAAATTCCTCGTAAAGTTGCATATGGAAAATTGAACAATATTTTGCAAACATGGAAAAATTGGAAAAATTCTGGAATAATTAAGATTCTAAATGATTTCTAAAAAATTAATCAATGAATAGAAAAGATAGAAATTTTAATTGTAAAATCTACCACCTGAATTTCAATTATAGATTATCAATAGACCGGAAGGAACGAAATTGAAAGTGAAAAAAATTTTAATAAAAAAGATTTAAAATTTTTTTCGATTTGGTCTTTTAAATAATTTTTTTTTTGAACTCTTCGGACGATGATTATTAAGAAAATTGACGATTTTATATATATTTTTTATTCGTTTTAAAATGAACACTGATTAAAATAATTTAAATAACTATTTAAATAATTTATGTAATAATTAAATAGTTTAAATATTATCAAAAAGTACGCAATAGTAAATGATAATTATATAATAAAAAATGCTTAAAAATTTGATAAAAAAATTACTCGTATGCGGCGGTCAGTTTTTCGAAGCCTTTTTTTTAGAAGTAACCCAGTAAGAGTTTTTATTTTTCCCAGTAAAAATCTAATAATAGAACAACAATATAATAAATTTTAGTGAGAATAATTCGCCAGTTTTCAGGAGTGCATGAAATGCTTAAGCTTAAATCATCCAGAAAACCACAATCATCATCGTTTATTATTGTATATTATCTATTAATAAATAAATAAATAAATAGATAAATAAAAAATAAATAAATAAAATTAACATTTTTTTAAAAATTTTTCATTTTAATCGTCGATTGAGGATTTTTTAAATGAATAAAATTTATTAGAAAATAAATAAAAAATTTTTCTATTTTCTAATTTCAACGAAAATTAAATTTGAATTTAGTAATTTTTTTTTTTGATTTTAAATAATCTTTTAATTTTTAACATTCGATTAGTATTCTCGTTGTTCTTGTAAAAATATATTTTCATACTTTCATTTTCATTAAAATTGAAATTTTATTTTTAGAAAAAATTTTATAAAAATAATAATAAATTAAAGTAAAAAATTTAAGGCATTTATATTATATTTTAATTTATCCAATAATTTCTTAATTTATTCGCTTTGTCGATAAAATTCGATAAACGATGATAAAGAAAATTAAATTAAATTGTTCTTTTGTTATTTATTATTAATAAATTATTTTTAAATATTTGTACTTGTAAGAATTATTTTTTTTTTTTAAATTCAGATTAGCAATAGTAAATCAGTTTAACCAATAATGGTGAACGCTATTAGAAGAAGAACAAAAGAATTACAATAAATTATAATTTTATCAAGGAGATAACGAATGAATGATTTGATAAAATTTTAATGAAAAGTTGATTAATTCGATAAAAATTCAAATTTGATGAAAAAATGTCAGCAGGAAATCAGATTATCAGAAGAAATATAATTATAATTATTCGAGGATGATCTATTACAAATTGTACATTCGTAAATCACAAAATCTAAGATTGGGATGACTGATAATCGATGAGTGATTAATCTTTTGGGGAAATCCGTGAACGTTTCATTTCATGAATCAATTGGGTTTTCGCTTAGATTAATGAAATTCTCTCAGTTTCCTTTGCTCAGGATAAATCATTGAAATTGGCTGCAAGGCAATAAGTCATGGTACTTTAAAATTTTGAATTCTAATTTTTTTATGAGTTTATCGAATTTTTTTATGAAATGCTTTCGTCACAGAACGGAGCTCGAATGATACTTTGTTGTTTCTAAAGTAATAAAAATGGGCAACAATCCAACTGTACAAATTTTTTCTTTCTTGTAGCCATTTTTTGTTGAAATTTTTTATTCACAAAAGGTCGTAGTTAAAGTTAAAGGTCATTCAAATTACGAATTTGATTTGACCTGATTCTGCACTGAAACCATTAAACATCATACAATTTGGCTTGAATATGGTCTGATTTTATATAGCAAAGAATTATATGATTATAATGATATGTGTTAAAATTTTAAGAATAATTTCTCTCTTATCACTTTATCAATGCCAAATTGAAATTCTAAAAAGACCATAAAATGAAAATTTAAAGCTTGATTTCTACAGTTGTTCATGAAAAATCTCAAATGTTTCAAATTATTTAAATGTCGAAATCGAAATAAAACTTATGGAATGCTTTCAAAAATACATTCTAATTTCTATTTTTATTTGAAACACTAATAATAAGATTTTAAAAAAAATCCATGAGAAAATAATATGGAAAATAATCTGTGAAGACTTCAAATAGCTTAACTAATTCATCCAAAAAAATTTCAATCCGGAAAAACGATATTTTAATTTTACGATATCGGTCTTGGGATCTACCTTTTTTTCAACAACCCTCACCATTACTAGTTAAATCCGCTCCACTGGCTTATCACACGCAGGACAAAAAGGCCAGGGAGTGCCTTAGCGATAGAAGTACAGATGAGTGGCAAGCATCGTACGGATTTTTGGACAGGTTTACTCCTGCGGGGGAATAGAACCACAGCGTCGGCGCTCCGAATTGAGCAACAACCCACTGAGCCATTCTACTCTCATTTAAACAAAACACGAATTTTTTTTTCATTAATTATTAAATTTATCATATATATGTTCTTTAACGAATCACGAATCAGTCTGTAAAAATATTTCCACAAAGTTCAAAACAGAACAGAAATTTAATTTAAATGCAACAGGTTAAATAAAGGTCATTGGTGTGTAATTTGGGCAAATCTTATGAGTGACGCCCATTTTTTTCATTAACTTTACCTTAAACCAACTTCAAATACACTTAAAAAGTTTTTGCCACTTTTCATAGAGGTCCTCTGAATGATTATATAAATTTTCAGAAGCCACTCATCCATACTTATTATTAATATTATTTCAATTATTTATCAATGTTTGCATTTTTGGCTTAAAATTAGATGAATATGTTCCAATAAGTAAAGAAGCCACTTGGCTAATTTGCTTCTAGTTTAATGAACTATTCAACTATTCCTTCAAAATTTTGCTATTTATAATCATTAATTGACCATAACGAATTATTAAAGCACATTCCTCACAAATCACTGATAATGATAAATGATAAATTTGATAAATGATTAGAAATAATCAAATACTATAAAAAGGTTCATTTCGGAGAAATTTTCAATTCAATCGAAATTTTTTATAAAAAAAATGGAATTATAAAAATAATGAACTTTTTAAAAGTAGAGCATGTGGTATGCATAAAATAACTAAACCACTTTTCAGTGCTATTTCCATCAGTTCAAAAGTTACCAAGAACTAATTGGCTTGGCTTGAATTATCACAAATTTCTAAATTTTTGCTTAGTCTTAACATTTTCCGAATTAGCTTCTGATTTCTACTACTCTTTAGTTTCAATAAAATCTGAAGAAAAGCAAAAATTGGCTTTAGCCATATTTTTTGCAAATTAATTCTTCGCCTTTTGGCATGCATCATATTCAAGCGATAATTTAGATACATACAACTTGCAGTACTACATGCTAGAAATTTGCACAATTACAATTTTTGCTATAAACCAACAATTTAAAACAACTATCGGCGAAAAGAAGAAGATTCTATGTTCATTCTTGATTCACTTCATTTCGTTGATAAGTAGTAAGCAGTAACTTTTTTTTAATTTTTCGGAATTTTTCTAAGTTCTAATTTTAATATAATTTTTATGAGCGATAAAAAAGCATTTGCATATATTTCAGTTGGACGAGAATTTATCGTTAAAATTATGCTATTTAGAAAATATTTTAAATATTTTGCAACTATAATAATACTATTAAAAGAAATATTTTTAATAAAGGTATGAATTATTTTTAATTTTTTATTCGTCTGTCTGAACCGATAAAATTTGTGAAAGAAATGGTTTTTTCTGAAATTTTTTTTTTTAAATTTACGCATAACTTTTTTTTTGCTAAAAAATTAGATTTAAAAACACCAGAAATGTGTTCGTTGATTAGTCTTATCAATTTTTTGTTTCTTCTAAAAGCATTCACCATTTCTGATTAATTTCTCATAGCCGCATTGTCGGATCAGATAAATTTTGTCAGAGAGTTATTTGGCTATGGAAGTATAGTGAAACAGGTGAAACGCCAAATTTGAGAACTAAGCTATTTATTCTTTCATTTGTTCCGATTTTTTAAAATAAATAATAAATAAATATAAAATATATAAAAATATTTAAATTTAAATAATATATATGAAAATATTTATATATGAAAATGTAAATATATGAAAATTAAAATACTTAAATATAAAAACAATTAAAATAATTCTTGCAAAAATAATTAAAGATTTAAAAAAAATTATTGTAGTTTCAAGTAAATCACGATTTATTGGTTTAAGAAAGAAAAAATTTAGCTTTTTTTTTTGTTTTTGCAGAATGGCGTTACAGGGTCGAATGAAATTTTTTTAAAACGAAATATCATTCGAGCAAAACGATTTATCAGGTAAAATACTTTCGAAAATGTCATCACTAAATTATCATTATTATCATTTTTATTATCATTGTTATTATTATCATTATATTTATAATATCATTAATATCATTATATTTGTATTATTATTATTATAAAATTGTTTTTATCATTTTTAAAATTTTCATGAAAGTATGATCGATTGTATTTAATAGTTGTGAAATTTCTTTAAAAAAAAGTATAATGCGACTGGCTGACTTCATTCTTCTAAGCATTTACTCCCTTATTTGTCTTAAAAGTAAAACTGAGTTTAGATAAGGTGAAACAATCGTAATATGGTTTATCGCGGCGATAGATTTGCTGCAGTTTTTTTTAAATTTTTAGTTAAATTCATTCTTATCAAAAAAAACGTATTTCAAGATTTATTGCAACTATAATTTTTACAAAAATTTCGCATAATTTCGATGGTTCACTTAAAATTATCTAAAATAAATAATGATACAATTTTTTATGGGATTTTATTACAGAAATTGATGGCTATAAATTCTTCAAAAAAAATCTATTTAAATCCAATATAATGCAATTTTAAGGTAAACTAATAATCTACGATAATGGCTAAATTTTTGAATTTTTTTTTTTTAGACAAAGTTGGACTTATAGCAGAATTTATAACCAAATTCGTGACGAATATGGCAATTATATTATACCTTATGTGATAAGCGGTCCTTATGGTATGTTTCAATTTTTCTCTTCTAAATCGAATTTATTCTAAATCGAAAAAATTTTTTTTGATAATTTATGATAATTGATATGTATTTTTAATAAATAATATTATTTCTATGTTTTACTTCCGAATTTTTTGTAATATTCTTCGATTTAAATTAAAAAAATTTTTTAAAATTTACAATCGAATAGATTTGATTTTTGCTACTATTTTGAGATTTCCAACGATTTTTTATCAACGAAAACTAGTTTAGATATTTTTTAATTATTTAAGTAATATGATAATAATAACGAATAATAATAACGAATCTCCTAATTTGTTGCATTTTCATTGTTTTGTTGCTTTTTTAATTTTTTATTGTGTAACAAAATTGATATTTTTACAGTTTTTTTTAAATTCGAATTTATTTTAGAAACAATAATAAATAAAAAAAAACAAGTAATTAGCGCCCACCACTAAGTAATTAGCAGGGAATTCTCGTTGCTGATTTCACTAACTTTGCTGGCTGTTAGGTGTGATTAGAAACAAATAAAACTATGCAAATACGCCTAAAGGGATTCGAATAAACTTTAGGAATTTTAATATATGAAAGAATTTGATATAATATGGTATAACTGAGATGACATTATATTATATTTTATCTTTTTATTATCATTCTTACCAAACTTTTTTGCTATCATTCTTATTCTCTCTTATCACCCGCATTATGTCTTTAATGAATTTTTTTGCCAACTTGAATTGCAAATTGCATTACTTAAAATTTTTCAATAAACTCATTTGTCCTAATATTCGTCGTTTCTATGGTAGTTTTATGGTAATGCGGTACCACTTATTAGTTATAGGCCATTAGTTGACTTCAAATGTGTTTCCCAAATTTTGTTCCATACCTATATGGCTTGTCAATAAAGATCGGGAGTTATGGATATTCAATTCTTCAACTCTTTGGAACTATGTCACATATCTTTATCAGTCTTTAAGTACCAACTAGCATTGTTTCTTTGTATTCCCCATTCTCATTTGGCTGAGAATAATTTAGTAAAAAATATTCGTTATTTATTATTCGTTCCTAAAATTTATAAATAATGATTTCATAAGACTTACTATTTGTACTATTTGTTAAGGTGCTCATCAATATGCGGTGATTTATGGTGCATTTCAAGCGATCGCTAGAAATACTTGCATAAGATTTAAGCCAAGGACATTCGAAACGAATTTCATTGATCTACAAAATAGATACGGAGAAGGGTATAATACTATTGGAACTATTATAATAATTAATTGATAACTAATAATAATCAACTGATAATCGATAATAATTAATTGATAATTCATATAAAACAGTCATATTTTTATGGAAATTAGTAGATTATAAAGTTTATGAAAAATTTTCGTATATAGTGATTGATTTTTAAGCTATTCCTTAACTCAATTATTTTTTTTTTAAAATGAAGATGCTGGTCATGGATTGGAAAACGTGGTGGACAAAGTGTGGTGAAACTGGAATCAAGCAATCTTCAAAATTGTGTTAGGCATCAAACCGTCATGCATGAATTGTTTCATGCAATTGGTTTAAGCCATGAACATGTTCGAGCAGATCGCGATCAATTCGTTAGAATAATTTATAGTAATATTAGGCCAGGTAAACTTCATTAGGGTAATATATTCTACGCTTAATCGACTTATTTGCTTATCTAATGAATTTGGTCATTTAACTTATTTTTTTTTCGTATCTTGGTCACTGTAGATTTATTCCCGCTAGTAGTAAAATCAACGCACCGAAATGAAACCAAAAAACCATATGAAGTTCGTTTGCAGGAGAAAAAATTAAATTATTGTTGCAGAAAAGATTTCCAGAATCCATTTGCATAATAAAAGTTGATTTGATTTTTAGACTGTTTATATAATTTCGAGAAGAGAAATTCTCAAACATTTGGCTTTCCATATGATTATCAAAGTATTATGCATTACAATAAATTTATGTGCCAAAGGACCAGAGGAGCCATTACAATATCAGCGCCTTATCATTTCATGGTTAGTTGCAAGAAAATTTTTGCGAAAGTATTATTTACAAAGCTGTATGATTTATTATTTATTTCGTGCATTTTTTTTTCATATTTTGCATTATTTATGGTGCATTTGTCTTACTTTTTAAAAAATATTGTACCTTGCAGAACATAATCGGTATCGGAAATGATGCAAGCCCAATTGACTACTACAAAGTATGCGCACTTTACAATTGTCATTATTGCATGGGTCAACGTTTTAACCTTGCAGAAGTAGTTAGAGCAGTACAAGCTCGTGCAGTTAGAATATGACTGGTACTATATAAGCTTCTGAAGCTAAAGTTTTGTCTTAATAGGCTTTACCATTTAATTATTTCTTTAATATTTAGTTTTATACGCTACAATTACTACAATATCGATTGCTATCACCATTATTAATATATATTGCCATAATTAATTGCAACTGCATACTAAATTGCAATTTTTATTATTATTATGGAACGATAAATTGTGATAAATCTTATTAATAGTAAGTATTGTGGACTGACGCATCTTTCATAAAACTGATCAACTGATCAACTGATTAAATAAAGGAGTACCATAGTTGGCTGCCTTATCGACTTTCCTATTGCCATTTGAGAAATATAATTATTATTTTTCTGGTATTCACCGTTTTTTGCTTCGCTTTAGGGTATCATGAGAAGTTAATGCAGGTCTTTTGTAGCACCAAGATTTTTCACTGATAGCTTATGGCCATCATTATTGGCTTAACTTGTGGTAAATAGTAATAGAATTAAAAGATGTGATAAAAAAATAAGGATGCAAATGAAGAAAAGGAATGATAGTAATGTCCTCAATGATAAGGCAAAATCATGCCAAATAAATTATGACAAAAGAAATTAACGATAAGAAATGTAAATACTTCAAGGTTGGGTTTACTGTATTGTTTTTAGAGCTCCACACTGTTTTCACTAGTTGGAAACTTCTAGAATTCTTTTTCATAATTGTCAATATAAACAGTTGATAATAATACAGTTGATAACAGTTTATTGATGTGCAGAAATAGATGTTCATTTTTGCCATTCTATATGGCAATTCCATGCCATTTAGATGTTTCTGCATCCTAATTTTTCAAATTCAACAAGCTTTAGTAATTGCTAAATGATAAATTTAAATTTGCGAGCCGTTAGAGCTTCTAATAATTATTTCTAATTATTAACGCATCTCGAACTATGGTTTACTCTCATAGAACTCATAACGTAGCTACTCAGTTATCCGGTAGTGTTAAAATTCGAAATAGTTCCTTCACCTTCAACTATGGAATTCTGTAAAGCTTTAGGAAAAGCTAAAATGGACTATTGAAATATAAAAGACCACTCTTTCAAAGACTTTTTCATTTGATGAACAAAAACTCGATAGAAAACTTGATAGTTACTTAGAAATACTCTTCGATCTTCGATTATAAATGAGCAAACTTCGATGAAGCTGCGACAATTCTTTTTTCAACATCAACAAATATATAAAAAATATTTTGCACCAACCAGATGTCACCAATGAGATGCAATCGCTCAATTCACAGATATATAAAAAAAAACTGAAACTCTGCAAATGAATTTAATTGATGCCTTAGGCTAACATAAATAACCCGGTTTATTTAGCTCAAAGAAAAAAAATGATAACGATCTAGTTTATGTTTATGAGCTAAATAAAATCGTGTAAGGCAATTTTGGCTTCAGCGATTTGGTGAAAGCAGAGAAACTAAAGTATAAACCATCCTTTAGCAAACAGAAACAAGTTAAAAGATTAAACCAACTGCTAATAGCCACTAGCCTGTAATTCTATCACCATCTCTGGCTCATTCATTTAGTGCGATAAGACAACGGAGCGAGTCTAAAAGTGATGGTGAGGATTCCAAAAAAAAATTGGCGGCTAAGATTCTTGATCCATATCGCCTTTTTCAGGTTCGCCAAAGTTATCAATGATTATCAATGAATAACTTAATTCTCAATCTTCATCTTGAAAGCACTGCAGTCTAATACAATATTGACTTATAATTTTGAAACTAACACCTGTATCAGCTAAAATTACGATGACTCGCTCCGATTTGAAATAGCGAAATTTCATTTCAACAAATGCCTGGTCAAAAAAACATTTGACCGTCATATAGCAATTAGTTCTTGTGTCTTCAACGGAAATCTTCAAAAGATTGGGCATCGCCATATCAGAGCCAATCGTATTCAGTGGCAGTTTACCCAGATGCATCATTTCAAAGGCTTATCTTTAATCGTTAAATTTCATCAGATTCCTACTGAATCTGTGGGTATACTGGCAACAGCCATTACCACAACTTTTGGACTATTTGAGTTTGCAAGGATGCTCTTTTTTCGCTACACGAATTTTTCAGCGTTTCATTGGCAGAATTATTCGCAACTTATCATTTTGTTGCGCGTACCTTAACTGATAACAATGCCAAGCGAATTGGCGATGAAATGACTTGCAAAAAGCTTTTGATTTGTTATTTTGAAATTAAATTACGAAAAATGCTATATTATTGTAAAAAAATCTTATTTATAAAAATTCGAATCAAAAGTTACTCCGAATATTTTTAATTTTAATGAAACGAATTTTTATGTGCCTATTTTTTCATGAATTATTCATCAATCAGCTACTAATATTATGATAAATATATGATAAATATGATGATAATAAAATTTTATGATAATTATTGGAAAAATTCTTTTTCCCATCATTACAATCAAATCAATACAAAAAGTCGCAGATTTATTAGAATCGTAAATTTAATTCCTGCTAAAGCAAGTGGTTAGCGCTCATCGTTCCTGGTTAAGGTTGCTGCTCAAATAGCCGCTCTTATCACTATTTAGTATTATCACCATTTGACAAAATTTTTGCTAAAAGGAGTCATCTATAATAGAAGCAATGGGTTTTGAATGATAGCCTCATTCCTATCAGGGACAAGCAAGACCGAAATCTTTGCTTCTCATCACCATAATTTGAGCCACTAACGCTCGGCCATTCATTTTTTGACTGAAAATAAATTCTCTTTAGCTTAAATAGTGCCTTAAAATATCTTTTTTGGCAAAGCATCTTTTTCTTTTGTTTTTATATTTTATGTAATTTGCTAATGATCTTTTGAAACAGTTGAAACTTATAGTAATTTTGCAATTTTTTTTTGCTTCCTTCCAGAATTCTAATATTTTGGCGCATTGAAAAATAATCGGAAAAATAAAATTTATTATCACCATTTGATAAAAAAATTTATCAAGAATGTAAAGTAACACGACAATACAATTTTAGTATCTTATTTCGTAAACTTTTCTTTTTTGAATAGCAAATAGTAATTTAACATACAAATAAAGAAAATATTGTTCATAAACAGGTATAAACCTCACAATTTGAAAGAAGAGTCGGTCATATCGTTAAGATTGCGTATTATAGATCCGATTCCTGGCTGTTAATAAAAATATGACCGTCACCGAAATCCAAGTGATGCCGAGGGCCTATAGGTCCTCAACGGGTCTCATCCAAATTATCAGCAAAATCAACCAAATCAGGAGCCACAAAGTTCAACAAAGAATAGTTATTCAACTTAGTTTAGAAGTAAAATAAGCTACAAAAGATAAAATAAAGATCATTAAAGATCATTGGTATGTAACTGGTGCGAATCTTATGAGTAATGCCCACTTTTTGATTATCTTACCTTAAATCGACTTTAAATGCACCTTAAAAAGTTTTTATACGCCGTCGTGTTTTAACGATTTTTTTTCGATATCCTACCTTTTAAGGGACATCTATCCATACTTATCATTAATATCATATCAGTTATTTATAATCATTTTCCTTCGGTGATAAGGTATTGATTGACCAAATACTGCTGCTTCCTTAAAAAAAATTGAATTGGTCTTATGCTCATATTTTTCAAATAATAATTCATATCACTAGGTGCGCAAATAAAGCTTAAATCCTATGCCTAAGTTTGATATTGACAATATAAAAAATAAATTACTGAAAAAAACTGATAGGCTGATAACTGATAATGTGAGATAAAATACAATATAATAATATTAAAGCTGATGATACATTATACATTACTTTTATTACCACTACTTTACTCCATTATTACTTCTATTACTTTGAAGCTTAATTGCGCCTTATAGGATCAAAATTTAAAGAGAACAAATCGTATTATTTAGTGCAATCCAAATCAGCAAAGCCAAATAATATTTTATAAAAATAATAATATTATTAAAATAATAATATAATAATAATATTATAATATTAATAATGATAGTAATAATAATATTTTATAAAAATCATTCTAATCCTCTCGTCGCCTTCGCTAGTTTGGGCACATTCTCCGTTGTCCACGACAGGAATTGACGTATATCTTGCTATATGCCGAGCTCTGCGATGGTTGGCGTTAAAAGCGAGGAAGGCCAATCAAGATCTGGACTGATACGGTCAGAAAAGATTTTGAACGTATAAGTGGACCAGCAATATATGGACTTAGAAGATGGAAAACGGAATGCCTTCTTACGCCAGCGGAGCTAGCCTTACCAATAATGGTGAGGACTTTTAAAAGAAGAAAAATTTCTAATCCTCTAAAAAAAATTTAAATTACAGTTCATAAGTATAAGTAAATGGTTGGTCAAAATTTGAAGAAAGATTTGAAGCAGAAAAGATTCTCGTAAATGCTGTCTACTCCTAGATGAACGAAATTTTTACACATTTTAGTGAGAAAAATTTCAGTTCGGGCTTTGAAAAAATAATTTTTTATTTAGAAGATCATTTATCGTTGTACCATAAAAGTCAAAGCTATTTAAATTTTCATCAACAACCAAAAATAAATCTGAAGTAGTGCAAGTACCAAAAACTGAAATAGCATAAATGCGATTAAGATGGATAATTTTTAGTAAATCTGAGAGGTGATTAAATAGATTTCAAAATGAAATATAGAAAAATTTATATTTATCAATAGATAGCTTGATTTTATTCATACTATTGATAAATAATAAAATACCAATATGTTTTTTTTTTTAAATAGCCCTCGCCATTACTGATTAGACTCGCTTCACTGGCATATCGCGCTAGGCTAATGTACCAGGGAGTTTCTTGGCGATACAGGAAAGTACCATCAGGTTTTCGGGCAGGCCAGGTTTACTTGTGTAGGAACCTCATCATCGTCGCTCTGAATCGAACAACCCACTGAGCCATTCTATGGCTACACCATCAGTATATGTATGATCCTAAGGAGCACTTGTTGTAAACAAAGAATAATTTAATACACTGTTTGAACATCTTGAAAATGACCAATAAAATAATCGGAATTGAACAATTTCTCAGCAATAACCATATGGATAATAATTGCTCATTGCCTATAGTGTAAAGGCTTTAAGCTAAAATTCACAACTGAAATAACCACCACATTTTCTGAATAATGATGAAATATCAGGAGTAGAATTGCTCAATGGGTTTTTGCTAAATTCGCAGCGTCAATTCTGATGTTTTACTTTCCGTAAGAGTAAACCTGTCTCTAAAAACTGGCCACTCACCTATAGGTCTATCATCAAGAGACTCGCTGGCATATTTATCCAGTGTGACAAACCAGCAGAGCGAGTTTAATCAGTAATCGGGAGGTACTCCTGAAAAAAATGGAAATATATTACTCCTCGTTAAAAAATTATTATTTTCAAATCTACTGAACTAATGTGTGAAAATTTAGATTTAGTAGTAAATTTTGTCAAAGGAAGAATTAATAAAATTTATAACATTATTATTATTTATAATTTATATTTAAATTTATAACATTATTTGTTATATTTTTTACAACAATTTCTCTAAAATCTTATAAAATTTTGAAACAAAAGCAAATTACCCTTTTCTACTATTTTTAGGCGAATAATTAATAAATTAATTATTAGCCTAAATTAAGTAGTTACAATCACCTTACCAAGACAGCTATTATCATAATTGAGGTAGGGGGGTAGAGGAAATAAAACTTAATAAGGACCAACTTTCTGAAATTAACAAATATTACTATTCGAAAGAGTTAGAAGAGTAGAGGAAATTAGAGCTGCATCTATTGTTTCATATTTACATTGAATAGGAATATAAATTAAAAATCTACAGCCTTTAGAAATATTGATAATAGATCGATAGGCCTATCCTTTCTAATCATATAAAATTATCATTAAGAGCATAATTGAGTCCAGTTCGAGCCAGGCTTCAAAAATACTACTAGAAAAGCATGTTAAGAGAAACTGAGGATTTTGGATTTAATGAGCCTCGTGCAAAACAAAAAATACAAACAATTGCAATCACTAACAGAATCATTTTTGGACCACATTTGTTATGGTGTATTAGTATTCACCGCAGAAAATTTCCTAACAGTTCCACTAGTAATCTCCATCCTTATTCTAAGTTACTTTTAATATTTATTGAGTCAATTCGCTCAAAAAATTGTAAATTTAGGAAATTTTATTGTAATAATAACTTTTATTTAAATATTTTTTTCAGAATTCTTGTAGATTTGCATTTCAATATTTTTTCGAGAGCGATAAAACGCTTTGCATATTTACGTTTCAGTTCGGGCGAAATTTCGTCAAAATTATGCTATTTTTATTCCATTTTAAAAATTTTATAACTATAATAATACTACTAATCGAAATATTTTTTATAAAGGTATGAAATTTTTTCAATTTTTTATCTTTTAGCATTTTTTAATTTTTAGTAAAATTTCTGAAAATAAGTGATTGTTTAAAAATTTTTATGAATTTATGAAATTTTTATGAAATTTTTACATAGCTTGTTTCATTTTTATAATAAAAATAAGATTCGATTATATTAATAAATATTATTTTCTATTCTGCAAGAATTAAAAATTATATTATTTTATGTAATTTATATTTAATAATTTAGACTGTAAATTTGAAAAATATAATTCTTGTAACAATTCTTTAGTGCAATGAATATTCACTGATTTTTTAATAAAAAATTTTCTTTTAAGAAATTTTTTAAGAAATTTAAGAAATTTTTTAAGAAATTTTTCTTTGCAGAATGGCGTAACAAAATTAAACAATACAGATAATTTTTTAGAGCGAAATGTCATTAGAGCAAAGCGATTTATCAGGTAAAATTATTTTTTGAAAATATTTTTGCACTATCATTTTTGCAATTTTCATGAAAGCATAATCGATTAGGTTTGATAAGGAATTCGAAAAATTTCGAAAAAATAAAAAATTTAATAAGGCTGTTCAATCTGTCTTATTAATATTAACACTTATTTTTCTTTACAAAAATAAACTTTAGGAAGAAAATGATAAATTGCAAAATTTATTGCAAATATAATTTATTAAAAACGTCTTAGAATTTTGACAATTCACTTTTTTAAGTGCGATATGAATAGAGATAATTTTTTGTAAGACTTTATTAGTTAGTGCTACTTTTTTTTTAAAAGAGTCCTCACCATTACTGGTTAAACTCGCCCCACTAGCTTATCGCGTGCCATTGGCGATAGAAATACAGATAAGTCGCCAGCATCACCAAGATTTTTGTGCAGGCTTACTCCTGAGGGTAATTGAACTTCAGCATCAACGCTCGCATTCGATCAACATCCCACTGAACCATTCTATCCTCAAATTAGTACCATATAAATCGGAGGCTACGAATTTCGCAAAAAATCAGCTTAATTTTATGTGAAAAGATTTTAGAAGTTTAAGACTAACTGCTTGAGGATAATTAGATCTTTTTTTTTTAAATATAAATAAAGCTAATTTGTTTATAATTAATAATTTGGGGAAAATTTTTAATCATATTTTTTCAGACATTTGCACCTTAGAATCTATAATGAAATTCGAGACAGTCATGGCAATTATATTATACCATATGTCATTACCGGTCCTTATAGTGAGTTATAGTTATTTATTCTAAAATCATATATTGTTTTGAGCATTTCTTCTGTAATTGATAATTGATAATTCTGATAGCTTAGCTTATTATTTGATTTGTAAATTAATAATCAAATAATAACTTCTATATTTTTCTACTATATTCTCTATAATAACCACTGATTTAAATAATATTTTTTAAAATTATTATTTGTTTTTTAGATTTCCTAAAGTTTCCTTATCATTGATTTCCTAAAATAAAATGGTTATCGCTCACCATTTCTGGTTAGGCTGAATTTATTAGCTCTTGGAAATTATTTGATAAGACTTAGCACTAGGAAATCATATAAATAATGATCGTCAGTCGGAATTATTTAAATTGGAACCGATTTACACCTGTCGGGAGCAGCTCTTATCTCTAAATGCAATAATCTAAACCATTATTCACTCGGCTATAGGTTTTAATAATTGCAATTCATTAGACATATTTAAAATATATTTTAAATTTGAAATTTAAAGTTATAAATTAAATAAATCCTAAATTAAATAAAAATTTGTTCCAATCCATACATATATAACTCGCCAATTATAACTATAAAGATCGAAAGTTTTAGCCATTCAATTTTTCAACTCTTTAGAACTGCACCACTCCTTCAGTATTTAAATACCCACTGGCGAGTTGTGGCTCAATTCAAAGCGCAAATGCTAAGATTCTACTCCATGCACGGGTAAATCTGCCCGAAAATCCGAGTGATACTGGCGACTCGTCTTTACTTCTATCGCCATGGGAATGCCTTGATATATTTGTCCAATGCGACAAGCCAGTTGAGCGAATCTAGCCAGTAATGGTGAGGGCTTTTAAAAGAAATACCCACTGGCATCTTTTCTTTACGCTCCTCATTCTCATTTGCCTGTGTTATTTGATTCTTACTAAAAAAGGGAATACAATACTCGCCTCAACAAATATTCCATATTGCGTGCTAATTATTTAGCCTATCATCAATACGCGGTGATTCATGGTGCATTTGAAACGATCGCAGAAAATACTTGCATAAGATTCAAACCAAGGACATTCGAGCCGAATTTTATCGATCTACAAAATAGATATGGAGAAGGGTATAGCGATGATAAAATTTAATTGATAATTCAATTAATTTAATTGATAATAATTTAACTAATTGATAATTCATATAGAATATTTGCAACTTGATGATAATTAGTAGATTAGTTAATTATTTAATTTTTTATTGATAATAGACTGTAAAATTACTAAAAAGTTCCATAGTTACAGTAATTGAAACTCAACTTACTTACTCAAAGTTTATTTTCATACATTTGTTGTTATATTAATAAATTGTAATTGTTTAAAAATTTGTTTATGAAGATGTTGGTCATGGATTGGAAAACATGGTGGACAAAGTATAGTGAAACTTGAAGCAAGCAATATGGAAAATTGTATTAGGCATCAAACCGTCTTGCATGAATTGTTCCATGCAATCGGTTTAAGTCATGAACATGCTCGAGCAGATCGTGATCATTTCGTTAGAATAATTTATGATAATATTAGGCGAGGTAGGTAATTTTTATTAAATTTTTTTATTTATTTTTGTTTAAGTTTATGCTTTTTTTGATGATGATGGTCCTTTTTTTTCGCTCTAATCATCATAACCTGTTTGAAATTGTTGCATACACATAGTCTATTTTCTATAAGCGTTCAGCATTTCTAGTTAGGTTAACTCTGCTGGTTTCGATTAAATTTCAAATTTTGCCAGGAAGATATTTAATGAAAAAGAATGGATCGTCAGTAGCATATAAATTTTTGAAAAAAAATAGGTCTACTTTTGCCAGCAATAAAATTCCAGCCTCACCACTCTAAAATGACACCAACAATCCAATGAGCCATTCCGTATGGTAATCATAGGCAATTTCATCTTATTGCTTAGCATTTTAAACAAAATAATACAAGAGAAAGATTTTAAATAATATTAATAATATTAATATTACTACTAATTTAATAATATTTATTTAAATTTAAGATTGTTTATATAATTTCGAGAAGAGCGATTTTGAAACATTTGGTTTTCCCTATGATTATGGAAGTATTATGCATTATAGCAAATTTATGTGCCAACGAACAAGGGGAGCACTAACAATTTTAGCACCTTATCATTTGACGGTTAGTTATAAAGAAATTCTTATACAACCATTATTAAATTACCGAAATTAAATGATATATTATTTTATTTCTTGCATTTTCCTTAACAAATTACTGCACCATTATTGCAACAATTTTACACCTTTTGATGGTATATATAGTAATTTTTTCTTGTTCTTTCGAAATATACATTTGCAGAACTTAATTGGCATTGGACATGATGCAAGCCCAGTTGATTACTATAAAATATGTGCACTCTACAATTGTCGTTATTGCATGGGTCAACGTTTTAATCTTGCAGAAAAAGTTAGAGCAATACAAGCTCATTCATTTAGGGTATGATTGGTACTATACAATCATATAAAACAGTTTTCTTTATAATTCGGTATCATTTCTCCAATACTTGGATTTTTATCATCGATATTGTGGCAATTAATATTAAAAATATTATATTATAAATATTATCTTAATATTCATGGTTATTATTGCAGTTTCATCATTACTGCTGAATCTATAATGATAATATATAATAGATAGTATCAATAGTAAGCATAATGACCACATTATTGAAATATTTAATTTAATATGAATTATTTCATAAAAATTAAATCTGGTTGAAACTAAATACTGTAATTTGCCTCCTTATCAGCTTTTTTATCATTCTGATAAAAAAGATGCCAATGCAATTGCAATAGAAATACAACTCTTTTTTTCTTATGGCACACATTCTTTCCGATTAAGTTGCACTGCCTATTAAGGTGAAACAATTATGAAAGTCATTTGGAGATAGAGATTAAATATAAATAAATATAAATATAAATTAAATTTATAAAAATAAAATAGATCTTCTACAGCACTTGGATTTTTTAAGACCGTTTTACTCGTACAACCCGCAAATCATTATTCTTGCAACGACGATTCAGTGCAAATAAATAAGGGAAGTGCAATTAACCAAACAAAGAATAATAATAAAATAAAATAATAATTAAAATAGTTAAAATTAGAATAATTAAAAAAATCCAATCGAATAAATCGAAACAAAGAAAAAATAAATATTCGCGGGAAATAAAATTTAAAATGCAACGAGATTGAATTTATTGTGATATTTTGGTACCGTTTCTTTAAAAGTACCATTACTGGTTGGATTTGCTGCTCTGGTTTATCGAAATAAGCAAATATGCGAGGGAGACCCTTGACAACGATAGAGATGCAAGGGTAGAGTCACTAGCATCGCTCGGATTCTTGGATAGGTTTTATTTCTTCTGGGAACAGAATCTCAGTGCTTCGAACTCAAGACCAATCCACTGATCCATTCTATTCTCTTTTGCTTTTTTCCCCGAAGCGCTGCCACTCGTCAAAAAGGGGTGCGTTAACGGCTTCGAACTGATAGTTTGGCTGATTCCACTGGCGATTAGACAAGATATCCAATGCCTGAAATTAACTAATGCCACTCGTTTTTCTATCACCTCAGCCTTATATGTAGGATGATTTAGTGATTGTCGTTGAGAAACAACGATGGATCAGGTTCAGCCAAAGCAGTCGAAGCCTCATCGAGGTCTCATTTTCGAACGGAACAACGAAGAGTAAAATGGCTTAATGGCTTGTTGCTTCTTTTTTTTCAGGACGTCGATGTTAGTGTTTTATTTCTGACAAAAGTGAATGTCCTCCAAAAATCCAGATGATGCTGACGATTTCTATCGAATATAATTAGGCTAAACAATTTGAAATGCACCAATTTTTGTGATGGCCAAAGAATTTTCTCGATTTTTTTAAAGAATTTGAGTTCAACAAATTCGATTTCAACAATATATTTACAAATTTTGCTAAGAGATTAAAAAAATTTTCTGACAAAATTGGAAAATCGTATTAATTCTTTATGTATACAAATGGTGATTTTTTTTTGTTATTTTCTTATAATGGTTTTTCTTTATTTATTTAGTAATTCTTATAAAATTCACCATATTTTGTTTTTTTTTCTTCCTTTTTTGCTTAATAGTCAAATTGGTACATCGATGGCTCAGTGGCAAGTTAAATGTCACCACAAATCGAGAATTGGGCTGATGCACCCCTCTTTATTGGGTGACAGTGTCGCATAGCGGAGAAAAACAAAGGAGAATAGAATAAATGATTCAATGGGTTACTGCCTAATTTCGGAGAGCCGATGGTAGGGAATATATAAATTTGACCAAGAATCTTGGTGATATTGGCGATTCATATCCCTATATTTTCAATCGCAAAGGGATTCCTTGACATATTTTGTTTAATACGAGAGGCTAGCGATTCGAGTCTAACCTGTATTGATGAGTGCTCTTTTAAAGAATCGAGGAAGTAATATCTATCAAATAATCATGCTGTAAAACATTGAAACTGATATAAATTGATATGTTCATCTTATTTCGCTCATTTGTCGTGTAAATGATTATTTTATATATAAGAAGAAATTGAGAACGCTTGAAAAGTTGGCAAAAATGGAATAATTTTTTTATTAGTAGCTATTTCTATTAAATTTAAATTTACAATTTATATAGAATGGTCTTTTCGGAATTTCTTGGAGCAATATCATTTTTGCATCCGCAATTTGACGATGATTTTGTGGACCGTTTTCATTACTATTATACGAGTACTTTTTTGATTCTCACTTCTGTAAGTGATAATACTTTTAAAAAAAATAAAATTATTTTCAATCCATCCTTTTAGGCATTCTTCGAATCCGAACAGCAGTTTGTCGTTTAGGCGAATACATTAATCTTTGTTTAATAATAAAATAGTGAAGTATTTAAAGTGGTTTACACCTTTTTGTATGCTGGAAAAAAGCAGATATATTTAGTTTTTAAAATATTTTTCCTGAAATATTCTCAACTATTCAAGCTTCAATTCGTTTCTTTCTATAGATAAAAAAAAGCTGAAACTGAGGAAATCATAAAGTTCCGAGATAAAATAATTGGATCTAAAACAATTGAAAAAGTTTGGTTCCGTTAAAATTACACTCCAATTTATCGTTTTTATACATCTTCAAACTACTGATAAAAAAGCGTAAAAAAATTGTGATTTGAGAGTTATCACTAGTTACGTAAAAAAAGTATTTTGAAAATTGATAAACTCTTTTTCCTAGATGTCGGGTTTTAGAAAATTCTATAAACTCTGAAATTTATTGGAGGTAAATATAGGAAAAGCAATAAGAAAAAAGAATCATCATCTTATCATCTTATCTTTTCTTATCTTTTAATTATCATCTTCTTCCAATCCGAAAAATTAAATATTGATTTGAAAAAAAAAATTAAGAATTTTTAAGTCATAGATGAAATAAAATTAAGATTTTTTAATTTATAGAATTATTTATTAACAGTTTATCACTATTGTAATGATAAAAGAATTAATATAATTAATAAAAGAATTGATTAATTTTTAAATAATAGAACTATTCAAGGTGCTTATCAGTATTAAAATGTTTGGTGGTCGTCCTATTGAATGTTGGGTTCCTGCTGAATACAAAGGTGGATGGGAAGATTATACAGGTAAATTTATAATCATTAAAGAACAATTATCTATACATTAGTTATCATTTGAAAGTCATCACTAATTATGGAGAAAAATTTCCTAGAAGAACAATTTTCTACATACTAGTTATCATCTGAAAGTTATTACTAGTTATCGCTAGTTAATCTAGATTTTTACCATCTCCGATTATATTTATTTCGAATTCTACTATGTTATATTATTTTGTAAATTTCTCTTTATTTCACCTTTAAAATGTTAATTATACTTAATTTTATTATTATTTTTTTGTTTTTTTAATACAAGCACATGGCGTTTGCGCCCTGTTTGGCTGGTTTAAATAAATTTCAATAAATTTCAATCAAGTTCATAATATCCATAGTAAATTTGTAGTAGAAAACAAGAATTTGCCATTTTTTTTCTATAAATTGATTGTAATTCCCTTATTCCATAAATTTATTCAAAAATGAACTCTCGAAAAATGGAATAAAAATGAGAAAATTATGTAACATCATACTGATTTATTGAATCAATTACTTAATCAAGTATTATAACTTTATCATTAATGACTTAATCAAGCGAATCTAACTAGAAATGTTTTGCTGGGCTCGAAATACTTATTGGATACCATTCGATCAGGAAATTCCGGATAATCTCGAGACTAGAGATACGCGACAAGTTTCATACTATCAATGGACACCGTTTTTTCTAATCATTTCGGCTTTCTTCTTCTATTTACCATGCTTATTATGGCGAGTACTTTATTCAAAATCAGGTGATTATTTCAATTTATTCTTATAAAAAGAAAATTTTTATAAACAGTTTGATGATATCTTCTGATATGATTAAATGATAATAGTTTATTGACATATTTTGCATTGAATTTAAATTTATTTTTCTTTTTTTATATTCAATCTTTATAAATTGAAAATAATTGCGAGTTATTATAAGCGAAAAAATATTCTTATAGAATAAACATCAAATAAATTTATAATAGAATTATGCGAAAATTCTTCATTGTGGACTAATTTTTCTATTTTCTTTTTCTAACAAAACAACAATTAAATAACATTTTTCAGGAATTTTGCTCAAGGATATAATTCTGTTTGCTAAGGATAAATCCAATATAGAGCCAAGTAATAATTATTTTTTGATATAAACATTATATTATATTATCACCAAATATTAATAAGTGGGAGAATGGCTTAGTGGGTTGTTGCTCCATTCGAAAGTTGAGGTTCTACTCTTTGCAGATGTAAAACTATTTGGAAATCCGAGTACTGGCTAGCAATTGTATTTCTATCGCCAAGGGAGTCTCTAGCATGTTTTTGTCCAGAACGATTAATCAGCGGAGTGTGTCTAACCAATAATGATGAGGACTCTAAAAAAAAAGGCTGTCACCAAATATTGTCCAATAAACTACTACTAATCGACAATATTTTATGATATATAATATCAATAATATTTTTATGAATATTTTTGACGAGAATTTCAGTGAAACGGCGAGCAAATATTAACGGTTTATCGGTTCATTTATCGTCGATTCTGAAACATCGCTTTCAGTTTGGTGTTAATCATCCGTATCATTATCGCATCTTAAAATTATTCAATCTACAATATTACGAAGCGTATTTAGCAGTACTCTATATAATGATTAAAATTTTCTATTTATGCAATGTTATTGGACAGGTGATTCAAATATTTCTATGTTGAATTTTTTTTGCTATTTTTTACTATTTTTAACTAATTTAATTTAAATTTTTTAAAAATTTTTGATAAAATTCAATTATTTTCTCACTATTTTTAGAGGGAAAATTAAAGGCAATTTTCTATGCACATTATAATAGGGCAAAAAATAGCTCAATAAATTATTGCTCAATTCGGAACACTGATGCTAAGTTTCTACTTCCTGCAGGAGCAAATCTGCCCAAAAATTTGGAGTGATGATAGCCACTCACTTATAGGTCTATCGCCAAGGAACACATTGGCATATTTATCTAGCGCGATAAGCCAGTGCAGCAAGCCTAATGAATAATAATGAGAGGTCTTAAAAAAAGAAAAAAATAATAAATGTTAATAGTAAATATTTATAAATATTTATAGTAAATGTTTTTTTAAAGATGTTTTTAATGAATTATTTCTTACAAACAAATCAGAAAAATTTTTATGGAATCGATGTGATACGTGATTTGATAAATGGAAAGCGTAATTTTTTGATTTTAATTTTTAATTTTTTAATGATTTTATAATATAATTTGTCTCAAAAATTGTTTTTATTTTTGCTGTGTGTTATTTTAATAATTTTATTAAAAATTTTAGATGAATAGCTACAATAATAATTGAATAGATTTTAAATATTTAAATATTTAATAATAATTTTTTTTCTAATAAATTCGTAAAAATCAAATTTCAGCTTGGACGGAATCGGGAAATTTTCCTCGAATAACGCTTTGTGACTTAAATATTCGAATATTAGGAAATATTCAAAGACATACCGTCCAGTGTGTACTTGTCATTAATATTTTCACTGAAAAGGCATAACTCAATTTTTCAAAACCTGATTTTCTTTTCAATTCACTGAATCAAACAATATTTAATACTTCTTTAACATATTGTTATACTGTATATTTTGCTAATAACCACAAAATTTTTTCTGGATTCTGCAAGGTTCTAATCGAAGTACCATATTCAACATGTTTCAGGCAATATTTGAAAAATGGGATTCTTTGGCGTTCACCATTTTTATTTTTGTTCACCATTTTTATTTTTCACCATTTCCACTTGTATACCATTTCTTTCACTGGCTGTAGGATAAGATAATCTTATCAGTACAGGTGAATATCCTCACTCCCCCCACATTACTTGGATTTTTTCAAAGTATAGGTTAAAACTTACAAACCTTACAATTTTTTATAAAGAATTTTTTTTCAATTTATCAAATTTCAATTATTATCATCAATTATTAGCCTGTTTGTCGATTCTTAGTTGAATCACTAGATTTCATAAATAAACTGGTATTGGTCCTACAATTGATAATTCTGTTAACTCTTTTATTATTTAAAAATTATTAATTCTATTAACTCTTTTATCATTACAATAGTGATAAACTCCTTGAAATATAAATAAATATAAATATAAACTGATTATGCATTTAAAGGTTTTCGTTATGTTGTGGATATGGTATTTGATATTAGCCTGTTTGTCGATTCTCAGTTGCTCATATTGGCTATTCTTCATGCTTTTACACCAAAGAAAAGCGTATATAATTCAATTTGCTCCATGAAATATTTGAAACATGAAATAATAAAATTCTAATAATAAAATTTACATTTATATAATATAATTTATATTTATTTCTATATATATATATATAGATTTATATTATGAAATCAATTTTGCATAATTTTAAATATTTTTAGATTCATTATTAAACGATTACAATTGGCTGATGTGAATTTTGATAAAAAATTTTGCAAAAGTGTATTTAATAAAGTAATTAAATAAATAATTCGTTTTATGATTTTTTAATTTTTATGAATAATTTTTTAAAAATTTTTTATAAAAATTTTTTTTAAATTATTATTTGTTGAAAAATATGAAAAATGAATTCTATTTTATGCAAATACTACCTACCACTTTCGAGTACCATTGACGGCCTTTTGAATCCTATTTAAGACAAGAAGATATAAATGATAAGTAAAAAATTAAAGCAATTAACGCTATTTTTGTTTCTGGCCAAGCTTTCCTTTTTGTTAATACGATGAGAAATTTTTACCAGAAAGTCATTTAACGATGAAAGTATCGGAAAATATAGTTGGATGGCCAGTACTATAATTACTTGAATTTTCCAACTAATAGATTTATTCCTATCTCTGAATCTTGTCAACCGGCAAGATTCTACTTCCGCGCAGCATATACTATATTATATATAGTATATATACATATATATATATATATATATACATGTATAGAGCAAATTCTTAAAGATAAACTGATAAAATTTTGAATATCAGGCAAATTCAATTAAGAAAAATGGTTATTTCAATAATTGCTTGCTCGAACCAATTTATCACATTTAATATCGTTTATCACTTATCATATCACTTATCATCATATTTACCATGAATTTTTTTTTTTAGTTTATTTGTGATTATATCAAAATGGATGGCGCATTTGTTTTAAAAATGATATCCATTCATGCTGGCGTAGTGATATCGATGGAAATTGCTGATGCATTGTGGGAAAATTTTATCGATGAACAAGGTTTATAAATTTAATAATGCATATAATATATTTTTAAAAAATTTGTAAAATGATAATTTAAATATCATTTTTATTCAATTGAATTAAATTAATAAATTAATTAATAAGAAATTTTTAGAATTTTTTAATTCAATTTTTTTTCATGAAAAAAATTGAAAAAAAAATTTATTAAAATTTTTTTTTTTTTTAAAGAGAAAAAATCTATTTAAAGAAGATATGGATGAATCAAGAAAATTGACAATCAATGACGATTCGAAGCATTTTGAAAGCGATATTTTGCGTCATAAGATTAGTGCACTTGTACCATTGATGTCCCGCGAGAAAAATCGTCCTTTTCATAGAAGCGTTTAGCCAAAAAATTTAGCCTAAAATAAATGAATTGCAACAAAAATCATCCATTGGAATAAATTTGCAACTTTGTTATATAATGCAATTTTTTTAAATTTTCTTAAAATTTTTTTTATAGCCTCAAGGCCTTATCGCTTTCAAAAATATCGCTGAAAATATTATTTACAATTATTTATAAAATAAAAATTCATAAAAAAAATATAAATTTTTGAAAATTTTAATAAAAAAAAGAGCAAATCTATGCAAAATCGCTGATATTTTTTTTTACCATAAACTTTATTTTTTAAATATTTCAATATTATTAAATATTTAAAAATTTTTTTTTTTGATAATTTTGCATATTTTTATTGTATAAACTTTATTTTGTTCTTTAGAAAAATTTTGCCACATTTTTCTTAAACCAATGTTCAACACATTTTTTTATCGTTAAATAATTGAATTTAAATAATCAGTTTTTATGGTTGTTTATACCTAAATTGTAATAATATACTTTCAAAGATATTTTTAAATATTCATAAATCGACAATTCACGAAGAAAAATTTCAAACAAACATTAAGCATAACTCAGATAAATTTTTCCTCTTTTTCATTTTCTATAAAACTATCGAAATCCTCTTTTTTTATTGAGTTTTTTTAAAGAATTTTAAAATTATATACAAAATGAAATTATATAAAAAATTTTTTTTTTGAAACAAATTTTGTTAAAAAATAATAAAATAAATATGTACTTTGATTGCATTTTTGTTAAATCTCTGAAAATTTCTATAAAAAAAAAAAATTTGATTATAGAATTTTGAATTAGATTTATCGGAATTTTTGTTGAGAGGAATTCTTCTTCTTCTTATATTCATAAAAATTTAAGAAAAAAAAAATTGTATGAAATCGTTTGAGCGTTAAGAAAAATAGTAAAGCGTTTTAAGGCGTTCTTTTTTCTCATTGCTCTTATTAAAATTAATTCTTTTTTTTTTGATTTCTAAAATTTAATTTTCATTCTTTTTTTTGCTACAATTTTCTTTTTTTTCGCTTTTTTTTTACTTAAAATTACTTATTTAAGAGAAAAATAACTAAAATTTTTAGTATATTTACGATTTCAGAATAGATATACTTTAACTATGAGAAATTTTTTCCACTTAGCGATATAATTGCAAGTGAACAACCAGCGCCATTAGGATTTATTCCTATCTTGTCGATTTCAATTAAAATTTTAAAATTTTTTCTTTTTTCTCTAAAAATATGGAAAAAAATTGAAAATTTTATAAAAATAAAATTTTTTTTTTAGGCAAATAATTGGTGATAAATAGGAATAAATTACAATATTTAGCACTTCGAGCAATAAAATCGTAAAATATAGTATCAGTTTTCAGTTCCATGAAGCATTATCGAGAAAATTTCCTTCCCTTTCTTATTTCGTATCGATTCCAGTCACATGTAAGAACGAGAATCATGATTAATCCCAGTCGTATGAAAGTTATCTTTTCGTTAACTTTTCCACTTGGTTTTTTTTGAAATATGAAATTTTCTCGCATTTTTTTTTATTTAAGCAAGGGAAAGTTGAATTTAATGTGAAAAATTATACAATTTCTCAAATAATTTAGTGGTACTGAAATTTTATTTTACTCAAAATATTTTTTTTTTTAACTGCATTGATTATTACTGGTTAGACTCGCTTCGCTTACCTATCGCACTAGGCAAACATGCTAAGGGATTCTTTAGCGATACTATTTTCTGGAAAGGTTTGCTTTTGCAGGGAGTATTAACGCTTCGAATTAAGCAATAACTCATTCTACTCGCAACACAACTATTTAATAGAATCACCGTCGATTAATATTAATGGATTTCTTGGTAGCATTAAAATCACATGATTCCATGATGCTCAAATAAACGCTATGAGAATATATATATTCTACAAGAAATTAGGCCTAAGGAAGACCAAAAAAAAAGACCAATAAAGTAAATTTTGAGCTTAGAAATTACGACGTATTAATTGAGCGTAAGATTGACAATTTTTTCGTTTCGAAAATATTATTCGAAAAGTAAGAAAAACAAATAATTAAATGCAGTGAATTAATCGTTGAAGGCTATAGTCTCTCACTGAAATTACGCATTTTTCGCTATATTTTTACCTTAATTACGTTTATCATTTGCATAAATAAACAAATATCACCTGTTTTTCTTTTTTTTTTGCGTATCAAAAAATGATTTATTAAAAGCGTTTTAAGTGTTTTCTATTTGTAAAAAATAAATATTATGAAAAAATTATTAAAAATTTACTTATAGAAAATTTTAAAAATCAAAACTTACTACATGAATATTCTAAATTTATGAAACGAATTTTTATGCGTCTACTTTTTAATGAATAATTCATCGATTAGTTTATTTTATCCGACATAAAATATTATGATAATTGTTGAAAAAATTTTTTTTTGTCGTCGTTAAAATCAAATCTATAACGAAAGTCACTGATTGGAATCGTAAATTTAATGCTTACTAAGATATAATGTAAGTAAATAATATAAGATTTAGGGCAGAGAATGGCTCAATAGGTTTTTGGTCAATTCAGAGATTCTATTTCCAGAGGCAATAAATTTATCCAAAAATCCGAGTGATGCTGGCAACTCACCTGTAGTTCTATCGCCAAGAGACTTCCTGTAATATTTGTGAAGTGCGATAAGTCAGCGGAGCGAGCCTAATTAGTAATGGTGAGAGTTCTTAAAAAACGCTATAAGATGATTAACCTTTCTTAGATTTGTACAAATATTGTTGTAGTACGAGTTTTTTCGCAATGAAATTACCAACTTGGCTATTTAAGGAATTTTTTAGTGGCAGCTCCTTATTCTTATCAATGATAAGAATCGAATGCCTTTCCTATAGTTTGAAACTAATTTTAAACTAAAAAAAAGAAGTTGAAACTTGCAGCTTTTTTTTTGCGTTTTATTTGAAACCCTTAATATTCTTGTAATTTTGACACATTGAAAGATAGGCTAAATTTTGAGAATATCATAAAATTTATTGGTATCATTTAATAAAAAAAATTTGCTAAGAGTGTAAAGTAATGCGATTTAATATATCCTTTAGTCATTTTTTGTCTTTTGATTAGTTAAAAGGTCTATCTTGCGGACCAAAAGAACCGTCTTCATACGCGTACGTAGGTTGACATTTTTGCAAATTTCTTATTTTCACCACATTCTTTTCATTAAATCAAAATTAGTTAACATTCTTTGACTATTGAAGCATTTTTTTTCACAAATCTCCATTTTTCTCATAATATCCTCCACTGACCCTTTCTAATTATTTCCTAAAATATTTCCTTCACTTCCGTAAAAAATTTCGGCTTTTTTAGATTTTGGAAAATCTCAATTGATTATAATGTTGTTTTGTTTTGCCGGGCACATATGCTCCCACAATAAATAAACATTTTATTATAGAAATTTATCACTGATTTTATCACTGATTTATCAAAATATTTGTATATTTTTTTAACAAATTTATTTATCGTTTAACGCGATGATTTTTAATAGCAGCGAACCCTTTCGATAAAGAATATAAATATTTCGAACGGCAAGTGGTTTTAAATAACAAATTAGCCATAACTCCTTCAAATTTTCGCGTCGAATTTTGCCATATGGTTAATTATTATTATTACTATTCTTTTAGGTGTTCTAAACTTTACTTTGTCGATAGCTTCTAGGCTTTTGAATGTTGCATATATAAAATGCGATTTAAAATAATTTCATAAAAATTTTCTAAAAATTTTTGCATTTTCCCAAAAAATGAAACTATTACGCGAATGGGGGAGTGGGAAATATTGGATTTGTTGCTTCTCATCTGAGTTAACTTGTCGTAAAAAATGGTACTAGTGATCCATCTCGTATTTCGTTCGCTAAATGACTCGTCGGCTAAATATTTATAATCGTAAAATTTTTAACAATAAGATTAAATTGACTAAAAATAATAAAATACTCTAATAAAAATTGCCACATATTTCTTTACGTAAATTTTTTTTTTGTTAATATTATTATTTATTATTCATTATTATTATCTTAGAAGCGAAAAATTGAAAATATACTTATACTTTGAGAAGTTAGATCCGTTTTACTACAACACTAATAATAATGATAATAATAATCAATGTTTATTCTTAATTTTCATTAATTTTTAATTTTCGATTGACGGGTTTTGCAATAAATTAAACCTTATTAGACATATTTTTGAATATATAAATTTTTCATTGAATTTAATCGTCTCTTTTCTCATTTTTATCGTCAATTATAATATAAAATAGTATAAAATATTTTCTCTTTTACTTATTTCACATAATATTTTATGAGAACGGAAGAATTTAAAAATAAAAATTAAATTATTTTTTATTATGAAAAATACTTTTCGAGTTTTTTCACACACACATACACACAATAACACTCAGCTAAATATGAAAAATTTTAATTTAATTTAATCCGTTCTAAAATTGATGAATAAATCGAGTTTGATGCTTACAGTATTCATTTTATCTCTTTTTATTTTTAGCCATTTATTAAGACAAAGATTATTTCATAAAAAAAAGTTTTTTTAACTCTACCCGAATATCCAAAAAAGCAGAAAATGCATGAATATAATATTAATATTTTTTTTAAAAAATTTATAAAATTTATAAAATTTATAAAAAAATTTGAATCTATATAAATATTTGAATCTAAATAATAAAAATAATATATAAATAATTATAATATAATAATATAATATAATGGAACATAGGGCATAAGATTTTTATTGCTCGTTATGTTTCATTTAGTCTTCTGGTAGATTACCAGTGGTGTAAAATTTAATTCGAGGAATGAATTTAGTTCCTTTTTACTGAGTTTTTATTGTGGTTTTTATTGTGGCTTCAATGAAGACAATTCTAAATCAGCTCATATATCATAAAATTTATTACAAATGAATAAGAAAAGCTATTTAATCGAATATTTATTTATTATGTTGATTATATCTATTATTTTTCTACTCTTCTAGTTTATCTCAAAGTTCAATTTTACAGTACTTATTTAATTTAATTTGAAATATCAAATTCAAAATTTTATTTAAAATTGCAAAATTTTTTTTATAATTATTATTATATATAATTGCAAATTTAGATAACTAAAATGAGACAAAATAACCGAAAATTTGTTGAATAGATTATGGCCCTAAGGGCTCAAATAAGACTATGACAAGAGCAAATCTGCCATTAAAAAAATCGTGGTGTTCCAACTAACTAAACACTATCTGGTAAAAATCTCTCATCACACTAATAACCAAAGCACACCATGGTAGAAACTACTTGCTTATTTTTTTTTGCTAAATTTTCACCAAAATTAGAAAGATAAAACGAAAAAATAAAATTTCCAATTTGCTAAATACTTGTTTAGTTTTTTTTTTCACAATGTCCACTGGACCCTATTTTTTTGATGAGCATTAACTATTTTTATTGTGCAGATAAATTCTGCTAAGTAATTACTTGGCGATAAAAAGTGCTAGCACTACCAAGAATTTCAACATTGACGCTCCACTGAATTATACCACCTAATAATTAGTTATTATATATTTTCAGTTCATAAAATATTTACTAGTCATTCATAAAATTTTTTGCTCCGAGGCATGCGATGCTATTTTTATTTATACTCTCAAAAATTTTACGCCTCAAGAAATAAAAGGCTTCCAGCGTATTATTTCTCTTCATGCATTGTTTTAAGACGACGATGTTTATTTAATAAAACAGTCTATTAAGTTCATTTATTGCACATTTTTTTTCTATAATTACTATAATTATAAATTATTTTAATAAAAACTTCTGTCTAAATTTATGAAGAGATTTCTGTAGAAATAAATATGTCTAAAAATCCGGCTGATGCTGACTCACTTGTACTTTTATCGCCAAGAGACTTCATGGCGAATTTGTCTTATGTGACAAGCCAGTGGAGCGAATTTAACAAAAAGTGGTGAGGGCATTAAAAAAAAAAAAAATAATTTGTCTCTTATTAATTTCAATTTTTTGGTTTGCTTTCAAATAAAGGCAAGATTCATAAAAAAAATTTGATGAATTTTATGAAAATTTAGAAAATCTTTAGAAATTTTTAAATGCTATTTCTTTTATTTTATTGTAGTGTTTTTTTATTACTTTTATTATTTTATTTTATTATAGTAAAAGAAAATTAAGTAGTTAGTTTCCAATTTTTCTCTTCCGACTTATTTGACTGGTTGTTAGCTAAGTGGCTTATAGAAATTTTGCCTCTTATCACTTCACAAATGAAGATGAATCTGCTCGGATTTTTTAATAAAAGACTTATTAGAAGCACGAGCAAAACCTCTTCAAACGGTGCTCTAAGCCATTACCCATTTGGCCATCGTTTCGCTACATTTTGTTGTGGTCCTATTTAATTCTTCAAAAGCTCATAATCGAAAATAATTAATATAATTGTTACCAATATCATCGCAACAATTCAAATTTTTTAAAACACAGGAAAAATAAAATGCTGAATAAATTTATAGCCAAAATATTCTAAAGACCGCTGTAGTACCAATCACTGATAATTTCATGTTGAAGAGTGTTTTTCTAAGACTTTTAAAACCAGTTTGTTAGATACCAATTCGATGAACAATTTCTCTACTTAATAAAAGAATAATGGTACTATCCCATCATCCGATCGAATTTCAGTTATTTAGGTCTCAAACTCTCTTTCACTTTTTTTCAAGGTCTATATTTTGCCATTCTGTAACTTTTAATTCATTCTAATGAGAAAATATGAAAAAAAATGGTATTTATGAAGTCGAAATACTTTTTAAGCAACCATTAATTTCTGTAATTTAAATATTTATTTATAATTACGATTTTTTCTGTATTTTTGCTTAATTAAACAGTATTTTTTCTTTTTTTCTTCATTTTTGCTTCATTTTTTTTGGTACTTTGGAAGATTTTTAATTTAATCACATCACTTCTTTTAAAAAATTTTAAATTTTTTTAACACTACAAGAATTTCATTAAATTTTTTTCGATTCAATGAAATCAAAAGCTGTTAACTTTAAATTCTTAACAAAAAATTAATTATCGAAAATCAATTTTTTTTTGAACCTATAAATTTTCGTCAATGTTCTTTAAGAGTTTTAAGAAGAAGACAAAAATTTTATGGCAAATTTTATTCTTTTCTACTACTGTAATTATTTTAATATGACTAATATTCAAATAATTCTAAGTTAAATGAAACGACTAATAAGAATATAATATTTGAAAAAAAATTTATTATTTATATAATTATAAATTATACAAATTTATTATTTATATTTATTTTATTATTTATTATTTATATTTATAAATTAAAATTTATTATTTATTAAAATTATTCGACAAAATGCTAAATATTCGTTAAAAGATGAGCAAAATAGAACTCTCGATGAGAACAAATCTATATTGACAATTGTGGCTTTCGGACAAAATTTGCTTGGCCCCAAAAAAAGGAGCCAGTCTTATTAAAAATGATGAGCGTTCTTTAAAAAAAGCAATTTGTGTAATCCATTTCAAATTCTAGTTTAAAATAGAAATATTTCATAATTTTATTTCATAGTTTATTTATTTCATAATTTTTTATAAAAACTTTATTTTGCGTGATTAACGAACATTCATTTAAATCATCTTCAGTCAACCTATGTTACTTCGCTTCATTTTGCATAACCTTTTTTTTCACTTTTAATTAAACAAAAGAAATAAATAGATTCAAGAAGAATGGATTTGAATTGTTCGGATCCAAGAGCGCATCCTAAAACCTCAATGACTTTTTCGGCTTATTTAACTTCTGTGTGTTATTTTATATGTTTTTGTATTGCCTTTGTTGGTAATTCTACGATGTTTCTAATTTTAATCAGGTGAATTTTTTAAATTTATAAATTTATATTGTAACTTTATAAATTTATAATTTATAAATTTTTTTTAAAAATATATTTATAAATTATTCTATTTTTTTATTTATAAATTTATAAAAATTTATAAACTAAAAAAAATTTAGACTAAAATAACCAATCGAAATATTTGATGACAAATGGTATAATTCATTTATTAATCGATGATTTTACTATAAATTTGAAATAAATAAAATTTTTCTTAAAATTATTATTATTCATTTAATTTAAAATTAAAAATTTTTATTTATGGATAAATAAATAAATAAATTTCAGGAATCAAAGAGTGAAAGTCAAACGAGTACATACATTACTATTGCACATGAATATTGCTCATTTGGTTGTAACATTAATATATATGCCAAAAGAAATAATTCATAATATTACGATCGCTTGGTGGGGAGGGGATTTTGTAATAATAATTTCCATCGTTATTTCTAATTTTTTCTTTTTAACCAAATTCATTTCTTTCCTTTTCTTTTTTTACTAATTTTTTCAAATCATTTAATTTTAAAACCAAAAAATTAATCCAGAAAAAAAAAATTCCATCATAACAACGTTAGACATTATCGAATAACCATATTTTTGGGTATTCGCTTTATCTAACCAAATCCTTGATTATTTTAGTGCATTTTTTTCTAAAGAGTCCTCACCAATACTGGTTAAACTCGCTCCACTGGCCTGTCGCATTGGACGAAATGCCAGGGAGTTCCTTGGCGATAGAGATGCAGATGAATCGCCAGCATCACCCGGATTTTTTGGCAGATTTACTCCTGCAATTTTAGAATATTAATATGTATATTCTAATACATATTTTTAATGCTAATTTCGCTAAGATTTATAACTTATAAATACGCATTTTTAAAATATCGACTGCATTAAATTAATGAATTTCAGCTTTGTCGTTCTTGTAAATTTTTCGATAATTTTGGAAATGCTTTAGCGGCAAATATATTAGTGTGCATAAGTCTTGATCGTTTTTATTCCATTTTTTCACCATTATATACGTTGAACGCGAAAAAAACAGTTAGGCGTATGGTAATTATAGCTTGGATTGTTAGTATCGTCACAAGTTTGCCATCGGTAAAATTTCAATAATTTGTTAGAATTCAAAAAATCAATTTAGAAATCATTATTTCATATTGTAGAAACAAAATGAAAAATTGATCTTATAAAAATTGAATATGCAAAATATAAGCTTTTTTAGCTATTTTTTAGCTATAATTTAAGTGCCCATACATGTTTATTAAAAGATCAATAAAATGGTTCATGATCAATAAAATTTATTTTCAGGCATATTTTTTTAGAACGTCAAATCATCCATGTGCTAAATGGTACACGCAATGTGTATCTGGTGACTTTGTAGGTGCTCTTTCTTCTAAGGTCGTCTTTGGTTACACGATAGTTAATCTTATACAAGTAAGTAAGTAAACTTATGCATATACACGTTTAGATTTCAAATTTCCTCAAAATAAATTGATCAACAAAATAAATTTAAGGGATTATTTTTTCGTTATCCTGAAAAGAATTTATTTCAGGTATATATATTGCCATTATTTTTCATCGTTATTTGTTATTCTTTAATTCTATATAAAATTTCATCAAAAACCAAACCATGTAAGTTTTAATCCATTTCGATAGAAAAAAATAAGTGGTCATCATTTTTGGTTAATTATCTATTCGTACGGTTAGAAATTTTTAATAAGGGGGTGGCCTGGATTTTGGATAATGATATGATACCCCTTACATTTGTAATCTGGACCAATATCACTCGGGTTAATCACTTCGATATAAAAAAAAAAATTGGTCAACAGAAAGCTGCGAGAAATGTAGCAATATCGCAGATATTGAAATATCTTCTTCTAATATCACCATTTCCGGTTTATTTGTCCTAATGACTATAATTAGAGCCTTTTGACCAGAAATTCATTCGGATATAGAAATACAGGCACCACATGGTTTTTGTATTTAATGATATTATTCATTAAGGAACCAGAATTGATGCCATAATTCTAAGTTTTCAGTACTTTGCCTTACAAATTGACTATAATTTTCATAAAAATTTTCTTCTAAAATTATAGCTGAAAACTGCCCACGTTTACGAAGATCAGGTGATGCATTACTAGAAAGAGCCAGAAATCGAACGCTAAAGATGACTTTCGTGGTCGTAGCCTGCTTTCTACTTTGCTGGACACCATATGCTACGGCTTCTTTCATACATTTTACTTGCCAACCAAGGCAAGCTTTCATCACATAAAAAACTAAAAAATCTAAGCTTTTATTAGGTGCCAATATGGGCAGATCATCAGCACCATATGGATTTTTTAATGATAAGTTTACTCCTGTTAAAGGTAGAATCCAAGCTCTGAGCAGCAATAGATTACCATGTTTCCAGTTCCATACTGTTATTATTTCACTCTATTGAATTAATTATTAGAATTCATAATTATTAGCCCATTTAGAAGTATAGATAATGAAAGTTATATCCTTTATAATAAAATAATAATAAGTAAATGAATAAATGGGTACTTTATCAATTTTCATTAGGCTTGCTCTACAGGCTAGTTATAGGTCCACATAATTTTATAAGGAAGTGTTTAGAAATGTAACTAGGTCCTCACCGCCCCTCGGAACAATTACCATGAGGACGAAGCCAAACCAATATGTTAGTTATGACAAAAAAAAAACCCTCGGCTTGACTCATAGCTATATCTCATCTTGAAATGCTTTGATTTTGCTCAAGATCTGCTATATTTCTGAAAAATCTTAAACGTTCTGAAGCACTCCATATTACCCCTAAATTCCAATTGTGCTCTTTAAGTATAATTTAAGCCATAATCATCCATAATTTGACAGTGTAAACTTAAATAGTTAGAGTAAAGTAATATAAAAGTTTAATACCATCCTCACCTACTGCGTTTTCTCAAAATTTCATGAAAATTCACAGTATATATTTTTACTTATCAAAAAATTACAATTCGCAGAGGTGAGGGTGACATGATGATAAATGAAAGGAATTAGAGACAGAACGAAAAGCGACCACAAAGGACAATAATGGTAATATGGCGGATGGTGAAATTCGAAAAAACTAAAGAATATAAGCCTGAGCAAATCGGATGAATATTAAAATAATGCATAAAGGATTAAGGAAATCCTGGTTCTTGGAGGAATACCCTATAGGACGAATCTTTTTATAGGCATAATGTGAAATATCGAATTCCAAGCCTAACTGCTTTTTATTTTAGTCCTATACCAGTGATAATTCGTAAATTAATATACGCATTCGCAGTATTCAATTCCGCAATATCTCCCTATCTTTATGGATATTTCTCATTTGATATAAAAAAAGAATTCATTTTGCTCTCGAATCGTTCAACTTCAAGGCTCGTCGATGCTCATTACCAACCAGCATTTTGCACCGAGAAGGTTTCCTTTCGTTATAACCTTAAAAAGAAAAAAAACCTATATTTTAATTATAAAATATAAAATATAAAAATTAAAAATTTTTTAAATATTATTAGCTACTGAAATTAGTTGGTAAAAAAAAATCACAAAAATAAAATAAACTAAGAATTCGTAAAAAGAGATAAAAATATTCTAAAAATATTTGTAATTTATTACAGTTATTTCTCATTTATAACCGATGCATCGCAACGTATCAAATTTCTCTTTTCCACTTTTCATAATATTTCCAAATATTTTCCAAAATTTTCATTAATGCTAATTTAATCTCTGATGCTTAAAAAATACAAAATAATGGTTACTGGTTTAACCCATCGATATTTATTAAATGTTAAAATTGGTCGTTTTCTGTCGATGTCCTATGGGCTTATCTAATATTTATTTTTTACAAATATTTTTCATAATTTTGAATAAATAAATTTTAAATTAGATTTAAGCCTACGCTAATTTCTTTCTAATATATTCTTAAAATTCAACGAATAGTGATAACTTTTTTATCACTATCATATTTTACTCATTAATTTTAACTTGCTTGCTGAAATCTGTCTTCCCTTTACATTTCAACGAATTTAAATTCAGCTTGAAAAAAAATTTTGTTAAATCATTTGAAATTATTTCAGGCCGATGCACTATAATATTATTGCAAAAAAATTCAATATTTTTGCTTCGTCGTGATAAAAAAATGTGAAAGTTGATTAGAATATAATTTGTTATTATTGTCTGAAATAATTTTTGGAAAATCAAACACCTCAAAAATTTAATTTTTGAATTTATTTAAAAAAAATACGAGAGATTTGATAAAGATGAGCAGATAATCTCTGTATTCCTTTACAAATAAAATATTTCCTTTATTATTTATTTCACTTTCAAAATATTTCAAAATATTTGTTTCTTTTAAAGGAATAATTTCTAATATTTTATAACAAATTGGTTGAACAAAAATGAAGCTAAAATTTTACTTACCATTTTCAACGAAAGGCGTCAGTTTTCATCCAAGCAAAAATGAAAAATACCAAAGCCAAATTATTTTCATCAGAATTATTATCAGTAGATTGCTGATAGATGATAGATCAGTAGATTGTGTTGAATATGCACATGATATATATATTTTTCATTCATATATATTTTTATTTTAACATACCGCGTTTATATTGCAACAATTACAACAAAAAATTTGAACTTTATGGACGATAATTCCTTCATAAAAATTTCCACATAGTAAAAGATAAAATTTATAAGCAAAAATTCAGTGAAAGGAACTTACTAAATTCTATAAAACTTTTTATAAACGGATGAAAAAAAAAAAGAATTATTAAAAAAAAATTGGCTGAGGCGTTGAATAAATCAAAAATACCAAAAATTGACATTCACTGATAAGTTAAATGATAAATGAGTGAAACTTGAAATTTGCTCAGATTAGACTAAAATAATCATTGCTTTTCCATTAAAAACCGATTTAAAATTTTATTTACTAATCGGAAAAAAAAAAAATTCACCGTTTTTGCCTGTTTATATATAAATAACAGAATACTCATAGGAATCACTGAGAAATCGGTAAATGATAAATGACTTCAGAATTTGGCATAGCCATAGGTTGGTCCACGTAAGGAGAATATTCTTCATTAAAGACAGATGGAGTATTGAAATCAAACCGATTATTTGATGCCAATGTTGTTGTTGAAGGAACGACTGTATTAATATCCATATTATAAGGTTCTTCGAAATGACACGTCATTTGTGAGGTAGGATTGGATTCATAAAGATATGAGCTCGGTAAAATATAATCGCAATTTTGAGTAGGTGCCCACTGATTTGGGCAGTATTCGTAATGAGGCCAAAATGAACTTTGAGGCTGAACTATGAATTGATGTGATTGAAATTGGTTATTCTCAACTGGAAGCGGCATTTCAGAAGCTGTTGGCTCGAAAAATGTTAAATCGACCTTAAATTTGAAAAAATTTTATCATATCAGTTTTCATCCAAGCAAAAGTGAAAAAAACCAAAGCCAAATTTATTACAAAGCCAAATTATTTTTATCAGAATTATTATCAATAGATTAGTGTGTTGAATATGCACATGATATATATTTTTCATTTGTATACATTTTTATTTTAACATACAGCGTTTATCATATTTATCATTTTATCACTTAATTTCTTATATCATCGTAATCAGTATAATTTCTTCGAAAATAGCTATTATTGATACGACTGATTTTTAAGGTTTTTGAAAAATTTATAAAATTTATGAAAAATTTATAAAATTAAAAATTTATAAAATTATAAAAATGAAAAAATTATTGAATTAAAGAGAATTAGAACTTCGTTGATCAAAAATATTTTGAAACCAAAATGACTACCAAGAATTATTAAATCTTATGAATGGTATTATCTAAACTATTTAGATAGAAATAGATTATTACTAAAACAAATTTTGATGATTAATTTGCTTTGTTTACATTACCATTTGACCTCATTAAACCAGTAAATTTTTTCGTTAACAGAGACTTAAAATAAATGATTTTATATCTTAGCTAAAGCCTATTTTAACTAAAAATACTTAAAATTATAAAATATAAAATTATAAAATATTTAGAAATACTAAAAATATTTAAAATTTTAAGAATAGAAACCTGATCGTTAGAATATTCGCTTCCTCTCGATCGTGTTTTGTAACCGCGTGGTCTTCGCCGATATGAACCCTCTTCGAAAAGAAAATCACAATTTTGATCTACGGTCCACTGATGACCTTTACCACTTCTTCCTCCTGAACTTTTCGGTAGTTTCACGAAACATTCGTTCAATGAGAGATTATGACGAATAGAATTTTTCCATCCATTATATTCACCTAAAAAATTTTGAAAACTCGAAAATGCGATTAGGCAATGCACCAATCGAGATAATAAATAAATGTTTAGCATTTAGAATCTTTGTTGGTTAAGCATTAGGCATTTTTTTCAAGGAGCGATAATAGGTTGTCAGTACTATACTATTCAGATTTCTTAATGACAAATGACAAATGATAGCAGCCGAGTCCTTAACACTAATCTGGCTATCCCGCTTTCATAAAGAAAATGCAAAATTATAGGAAAGGAGGAATAATTTCGATTAGTTTGCAACCTCAATTTTTTTATTTATTGTAAGCCTCTTTCTTGTTGCCAAATCCATCTCATGTAAAAATGACAAACGGAAAAAATAATATAAAATGGTAATCAATGGGAAATTTTATAGTTAGTTCCAAAGAACTATTTCTTATAGCAGACAAGTGAATAACCTCGAAAAAAATCGAAATTGTTTTGAAGATAAGCATATATCTCTGTTAGAGTTGCCCTACGATCTGGCTTTGCATGAATTGCCATTGCTATGAGTGCGATATACGAGTAAGGCGGTTTTTCTTGCCTTTTATTGCTTCGTTTTCGGCGACTATCCTCATTGCTATTTTTAATTTGCAACGGTCCAAGAGCGTTAGCGATTGATTCACTGAAAATTTTTTTGGCCCTTTTTGTGAGTTCGTAAAAATGAATTTTATTTTATTTTTTTGTTTTTTGGCTTAATTGCATCATATCAGTTGAATAATTTAATTTAGCATATATAAAAACCAGTATAAGCTATTAGATTACGATTAGTACATTCAACTTCAGGTTTTTTAATATTTAGCTATTTCTTTTAAGATTTAGGAAATTCCACATTTTGCAATTCCCTATCCCAAGCATGACGATTCACCAATGCCTTTCGAGAATCGACATGGCACGCTTATTTCGCCAATGGAAAGCATTTGTGAAATACATAAATGTATCAACAAAATTCCCCAACTGATAGGTAAATATTTTCGATAAAATTTTCGAATTATATTAAAAACGAAAAACAGATATACATTTTAGAATTTCATGTGGAATTATTTATTATTATAAAATTGCAAATTATATATAAGTCAAATATTGAAATATGTTCGAAATGAGTAAAGCACAGCAACATATGACTTAATAAAAAAGGATTAAAGACAATAATTTTCAGCTATTTTAGAATAAAATTGGTAAAGATCTTAAGCTAAGACATTGTTCGGACACTAATCTCTATAATCTATAAAGACTCTAAAGAGACTCTAATCTACAATGGTTCATCGAAGAATTAATTTTTCAGAGATAGCAATTCAAATTCTAGCAATTACTGTAGTATAAAATAACGGTTCAGAGAGGAAAATTAATTTTTTCAATGATAGCAGATCAAATTCTAGCAATATTTTTAGAAAGTAAATTTTAGTTAATTTCATTTTCTCTAGAAAAAACTACCCAAAAAAATTTGAAGTATAAAATTGGCTTAAAAATTTCAAATTAATAGGAGAAAATAAAAAATATTTAATAAATTTTTTATTTATTTTATTTCAAAAGCATACTTATTCAATTACATCCAATAGAAAGGTCAATATAATTAATCATTTCATTTACAACAAATATCTGACCTATTTTATTGCTATTAATTAGCGAAATAGCAAGTTGGAGATGATAGTGAAATTATAATTTTATATTGCTAATCAACTTCACTAAGACATGTTTAATTAATTATTATTTCCAAAATTTGTGGAAAAGCTGCATAGTCCCAAATTTATTCATCTTTCTCCTATAGTTGTACAAAACTAAAAATTCATAGCATCCATATATATCCACAAATCCATAAATATATCAAATTAGATTAAAAATGCGAATCTAGAAAAAAAAACAAAAATATAGAATTATTTTCGCCTATAAGAGCTAAAAATTTAATTCTTTTCTAATAAACTGCTAAAATTTTCACATTAAAATAGATAAAATAGCTAAAAAAAAGATTAAAACAATCAACCATTTTGAAATAAATGCCGCGAGTTCTCATATTAATACAATGTAATTTCAGTGGAACTACTCGAATATCTACAAGTGAATATCTTCTTTAACTATTAGTTCTAAGCTATGATTGCGAAATACGGTCAGTTGAAGTGGAAGATATTAGAATGTTGTCTACTATTGAGCACTGTTGCCAAAGGTCATCCTACAAAGTCACCAAATAAAGTATTGCATGGCTCTATTTACCTTCATTTATGAATACCTTCTAAATTGAAATAAAATAACATCACAAGGCATCGCCTAAGTTGATTAGGCCATGTTTTTCATCAATTATCACAAGAATTGACGCATATCTCGTCACCAGCTAAGCCCTATGATAGCTGGCGTCGAAACCGACGAAAACCATTCAAGAACTGAATAAACGATATAGTAACTTAAGCGGTGAAAAATAAAGTAGCCTTTCAGTGTTATTTCTCTAACAAGCATTCAGATTCATTATTTCTGTAATATTATCTCAAAATCTGGGTATACTACTAGATTTTTTTGCTTTATTTTCGGCATTCAATTTTTCCTATATAAATTCATTTGAAATTTTCAATTTACTTGAAAAATTTTGGAAAATTTAGAAGTATTATATTTTAACGGTTAATGATACTCATAAACAAGCAATATTTGTGAATTGATAGAAAATGCAAAAAAATTTTGGAATTCTCGAATGTAAAAATAAAAAAAAATAAAACTTCATTTCTATTTGTCGATAAACTTTATCCAGGAAATATTTTAAAAAAAGAATTTTAAAATAATTCATTTTGGCTTACCTAATAAATAATGATAAAAAATAAAAATAAGAGAATTAATATAAATATATAATTAATACAAATATCTAAATTAATTAATATTTAATATAAAAATAAGAGAATTTATATAATATATAAAGCATGAATGAATTAGCGTAAAAGAATGACGGCAAACTAATCTAAACAGTCGTAATAAGCCATAATACGACAGTAGACTTTTGTTAAATAATCGCTGCAAAACTAAACAATATAAATATAAATATTTATAATATAATATAACTATTCTTGGGCAAAATTTTTTCAAATGAATAATCGTACCTTGAATTAACCAAAATTAAGTTGTTTTCCATGAAAAAAAAAAAAAATCGCCGAACGTTTTTGCAATTAAAATTTTTTATTGAATTGATGATTTTTATTGATAAAAATGATAAATAGAAATTGAAATAGAACAGCTGCAATTTGTAATGCAACTTTCCTCCACCTATATTTGAGACTTCTTCTTCTTGAACTCTATCAATTTAGGTATATGGTAATCATTGAAATATAGAAGCGTTTAGGATGAAACGAAAATAGCAGTTGAAAGTCGATCGTTAGAGAATCGAGAGTAATTTGATCGTATACCAGCAATAAATTGTTGGGACGACTCTCTTATCCAATTGTTTTCTAGTAATTCCTTCCCACTTCTCATTGGTAATTTCCACTTTAAAACGTTATTTACCCTAATAATTATTTAATTATTATAAATTAAATAAGAGAAAAATAAGAGAAAAAAAAGACGAAAATATTAAAAAAAAACAACAATTCAAAACTAAAAGAAAACAATTTGGAAAATCTAAAAAAATAAAATTATATTTATTAAAATTTTTTTATATGAAAGAAAAAATTTTAAAAATAAATAAAAATTTTTTTATTTATTTTGACGTAAAAAATCTTAATGAAAGTATCATTTAATCATATATGAATTCACTCACTGAATAAAATAGTTCAAAATGAAATGGCTAACGATGAGATTTGCCGAAGATGAATCGCCGTTCACTCATTTTTTAAATTTCACCGCGGTTCAAATTTAATTTAAAATGAATTTTATTTAAATTATAAAAATTATTGTTTTAAAATGCGGACGAATAAAATTAATTAAAATTAATTAATTATTACTTAATTACTTGTAATATGTAAAATTCACTTTACAAATTCACTAAGAAATTCATTTCTAATCTTTTTTGAATTTTGCTTATATTTTAGGATTTTTTTTTTCAACATTGAAAAATGGCGATGGTGATTTTTCGAAAACGAAAAAATTATTTTAAATAAAGTCTTCCGTCATTCATTTCACATTTAGTACCATTCGTATAAATAAGATGCGATGATGGTAAATTTCTATTTTAACCAAAGTATACAATTAATTTATGCGTTAAATATATTGCAATTCATAGTTCATTCCTTAGGAGAGGAAGATGGCGGCGGAGGGGAAGAATGGCTCAATGCTTTGTTGTTCAATAGCCCTAGGGATAATCCTATCCAAAAAAAATCTAGATAATGCCGGCTCACTTGTAATTCTTTCGCCATGGTACTTCCTGGCAAATTCACTTTTGCGATAAATCAGCGAAGCGAATCTAATCAGTAACAGTGAGGACTCTTTAAAAAAATTCCTTTTAATAATTTGCCATTAAATTTTTAATATTTTTTTATATAAATTAATAGTTAATAGTTTTATTGGTTGCGTTAAATTATATCAAATAAATTTTCATATTTTCACAAATTCCTATTAATTCACTCAAAAAAATTTTCATCCAAAAAACCGCTAATTGAATGAAATTTTGAGTGATAATTGTTTATATTATAATAGCATTTTCAATTAGCATTCCATATTTTCTATCTTAAAATCGTCGATAAAATTTTTAAATCGATTTGCAAAGAAAAAAACAATTATAAATTACAAATTTTAATTTTATTTAGTGATAATTGTTTTTTTAAAATTCTAAATTAAATTTAATGATGACGACGCCAATGCCGAGAGAAAAGAACAATTGGTGATTTATAGTGGAAGACTGGAAAAGTGGTTTGCATTTCTTGGCAGATTGGCACCATCGGTGGTTTTTAGTACAACTGGAAATTTTTATTAGGAAGTCGCTTGGCAATAGAGATACGAGTGAGTTGCATGAGTTGCACTGATTGAATTTTACAATTTGACAGGTTCATTTCATTTCTATAACTCTTTAATAATTTTGTAAATAATTCGCAACTTCATGAAATAATTAAATATTTGACGCTTGTAGATTTGAAATGAATATTCATAATGTAAAATTTTTTAAATTAAGTTATCAAGGATTTTGTCGAGGATTTTAAAACGATTTCACTGAACAAAAGAGCTACAAAAATTAGTTATAAAAATTCACCTTTATCACCATTTTATCACCGAAAGAATTTTTCATATTTATGATAATCTCATTGACTCAATTTTTTATCATTATTGAGAATCGTTTTAGAAATCTTAAAAAAGTAGAAAAATTTTTATATCATTATTATAAATCTTAAAGGTCCAGGAGCCAATAACAGTCAATCAATTGTTTTGTGAAGAAGCCATTCTATCCTGCTGTGAGGGAGATTGCGTCGTTGCTATACGGTAATTTGATATCATCGGTTTTGTAACGCTTTATCTAGTGGATTATATGTCATTGAGTTATCGAAAAACTCATCAAAGTTCATCTGATAAGAATTATCATTTAGTGGTTAAATTATTTTTCAATGGACGAATCAATTTGTTATCAATGTTATCATTTTTCATTTCAAGTAGAAATTGAAATTCTACAGTACGAAAATATTCATTCAACTATTATTAATTTGAAAATTCGTGGAAAATTTGAAAAACAGCAAGAAACTAAAAACGGTCTATAAAGCTTATTCTAGAGTATTTGAACTTAAAGACAAAGTTACTGAACTATTGCGGAGATAGAATAGGGAAACATCTGTTGAGATATTCAATGCAAATAATATGAATGGTTATAAAATTCATATATTTCTTGGCATATCTTCAGATATTCCTCATTTTTTTAAATGGGCATTCGATGCTTTACTAAACTACTGTTAAATACCTTCATCATTCTACTTTAATACCGTCTTTTTCCCTTCCACTCTTCTGCCATATTAACCTCGATAAGTTTTTTGCGTTTATTTGCAATTTCTGAAGTGCAGGCAAGGTTCAACGGGAAATGAATGGAAATGTAGAGAGAAGTGAAATATCATTTGCATAAATAAGTGAAAGTGAAAATGAAATATCCTTTTAAGACTTAAGAATGTTTCAGTGATTATGAGAAAAAACTGGATTTTGGTGAGATTTTAGAGGAAAATAACGATATTTTGGTAATGTTCAAGGATGATTTGCCAGCATTGCGGCAGTAATACACGTAAACACATGAATTTCCTAAATTTTTTCATAATGCAAGGCTGTCACTATATTTTTTTTTTAGGTCCTCTAAATTAATACATTTATTTTTTATTATTTTATTTTTAAATTTTAAATTTACTTTTAATTTATTTTTATCGGTAAAAACCATTATTTCGTTTGATTTTTCGAAGCCTTAGAAGCCATATGATTTAAGAATAAAATTATTGCGCTTCGTTTTCAGCAAATTTCGTTTACACAGATCAAATCAAAAAGCGATTTTTTAAAAATAGATGGTGTTATAATGAAGAATTTTGAGAGAAATGGTATCATGAAGGATTTTGCTTTTTCGCATATAAACCTGAAAAAAATACGATGATGCCGATGTTCCACATTATTTCTATTGCAAGGTGAGCTCCTAGCGAAAATTTCTAATCACACTTATAATGGAGATAAATCTAAGCAAATGGACGCTAACCAAATAAATACTTTTATTATGAAGAATTTATGAATTTAATAAATTCTCCACGTTTTGACGTTTCACGTTGCTATCAACGTTATTTATCAAGCGCTTTAAATTTTGATAATTTAACTAAATTTTTTTTAAAAGTAAGGAATTTAATTAATGTTGATTTATTGCATGTATAAAATTGTAATGCATGAAAATTTTTGCTATTAAAAATATTTTATACTAAAAAATTTCATAAAAAAAGTAAAAAATATAGACATTAAGAAAGAAAAATTTATTTTCATGAAAATTATATAATTTTTTCTGAAACAAAATAAAATTGCGAAAAGAAATCGTCATGAAAATGAAGATGATTTATAAAGATTAATTCAATGAAACTATTATAATTTTAATTGCCTTATATTCTGCTCACTAAAAGGAGAAAAAAAATTTTCTAAAAATCCAATAAATTAACGTCTCATCTCTAATTCGATTACCAAATGATAAAATTTATCTTTTTCATTTTTAATCGTAGGCTTACCTCTTTTATCAATTAAACACAATTCAAAAATCTGTGACGATAATATTATGCATGATTTTTTATCATAGAAATTTTTCATTTTTTTACAATTTTCACATTTTCATTAAAAAAAAAAAAAATAAAATTTTTGTAATAATTCGACATTTTATCTCATTAATCATTTTATCATAAAAATCGTGTTGTGCAATAATTAAATTCTCGAAAACGTTGTCATAGAAACTTGTCTTTTTGTTGTACACAATTAATGAGTGTTAAATATTAAAATGCGATTTGAGTTGTGTTCATTTCTTCCTTATTTCATATTATACTTATTATAATCGCTATCCTTTTAATACCGATAATTTTAATTAAATACTAATTTATCATTGTCGATTAACACCATCACAATTATATGTGTCCTTTAATATTTAATAATAACCGAATCATCCATCATAAATGTCCTTTAATAACGTCGAATAAATCAGATTTATTTTCTTATCTAATATGTTGCACTAACGCAAATATAAATTTTTCTTCAATTATTAATCATTTATGAATATTTTGAATAAATTTTATTTGTAACACTAATAAAATCTTTGTTTTTATAAAATTATATAAGAGAAATTATAATTATTGAATTGATTGCACCTATTATACAATATATAATAAGAAATAATTTAAATTTTTATCATAGAATTACAATTTTTTTATTTTTTCAAACAAAAACCAATCAACAAACTGCCTATCGCAATAATTTTTTGAAATATTCATCTATGCAATCATTCATATCATTCGTTTTTATGATTAGAAAAAAATGGACTAATTCATTATTTTTTCTATTTTTGCAAAAATATAAATAACATATTAAAATGATTTAAACGCGTAAATGCCGTTTAGCGAAATTGAAATAATCCTTCCCAATCAAAAAAAAAAAAACAATTTTTCTCCATTTATTGAACGAATATTTAACTAATTATGGTGAACGATTGGACCTTAAAATGAATACTAACGCCCAAGAAAATGATATGCAATTTTTTTAAAATTTTCAATTTGCTATTTATATAAAATGCATATATTCGATGTTTGATGGTTATTTTTATTTATTTTCATTTGTTATAGGCAGCAAAAAACAGAATTCTTTTAAATGGAAAACCCAAAAAACCATGTTTCATATATTCAATATTAATAAAAGATTAGCAAAGCGCATCTGAAAAAAGCTATCGTTAATATATAACAAAACGCAGCATTGTTCAATCATCTCAATTTATCACAATTTTATCATTTTTCATTCAAATTATAAACCTAAAACTGGTGAATAATAATGAGCAAAAATGGCGAAACAACAGTGCAATGGGTGTGTATTTTCAAAAATTAAATGTTGATAAAATACAAAAAAAAAGATTATTATTTTTTTTTTGTATTTTTATAAAAATAATAAATTCATCAAAATTTAATTCAGTTTATAATTTTAGTTAAGAAGCGTTATAAGCGATTTTTTCTTTTAGACAACATCAAGATCTTCAACTATTAATCAGTCAATGAATCAACAAATGAATTCTTCTTTTTTGCCAAATTTACCCGATATTTCTAATGGTAAACAAAAATTTTACAATTTTCTTCAACGTACAAGTTCTGGACCATATTCAACGAAAACAGTTTTCTTCTACAAGGAGGGTGATCATTATTTTTCAGTTAGTATAAAAAATTTAAATTTCAATTAAATTAATTTTAATTCAATTAAAATTACCATAATAAGAGGAAAGGAATTTATAATTCAAATCGACGATATGGAAAATGAACCAAAATGTACCTTCGTAATTCTGATCGATGATATGGCTCTGACTAAACGCAATTTCATTAGTAATTACAAAAAGATGACTTAATATTCTTCGAAATTTATAGTCCTATTTTATATTAAAACGAAAAAATTAGAAAAAAAAATGCGATTTTTTTTTTTTCATGGATTACGCGTGCCTATATCAAAAGCTCGATATCGGACAATCGATTCGCTTTTAGAAGATCTTAATTCCAATATAAATATGCCATTTGGTGTACGTCGTTTGACAACTCCAAGAGGACGTACTTCAATTAAAAATCTGGATGAGTTACAACATATGGGAAGGTGGAAGATTTTTCACTATCTCGATTTTTCCACTGCATTTTCAATCATTTATACTTTAAGCATTAAAATAAAATAGCTTTCATCATTTCTAGTTAAGCGCTGAAAATTTATACTAAGGAATTATTAGAATTTTTCAGTAATAGATTAATGATAGTTTTCATCATGGATGAGAATCGAATTCTTGCCTCTTTTTTTAAGGGCCTTACCATTATCTGCTAGGCTGGCTGCACTGGCTACAAAGGTAAGACATTTCCAAGCTGCGCGATGCTATTGCTAACAGTATTAGAAGCCATTCCTTTTTCTTTTTTCTAAGCTGGCTTGTCAAATATGCCAGGAAGGACCTTAGCGATAGATAAAGGTGAATCGCCAGCATCACTTCCGAGTTTTGAGTAGGTTTATTCCTGTGAAAAATAAAACCTCCAGCATTGGCACTACGAATTGAGCAACAACCATTTGAGCCATTCTATTTCCTAAAGGCAATAATCTAAGTTCCTATCCGGTCGATTATTTCCTAAAAAAAAACACCTTGAAATCTCTGAATAAACATAATAGCTATTTTTAATAATAAGTTGTTGTTGATTGTGCGATAAATTAGAGATATTTTAAAAAAGTTTGATTAAATAAATTAGTTATGATTAAATTGTTAAAATTATTACAATGCCTAATTAGTGCTTTTCAAAAATATTATTTAAGAAATAAAATTTTTTCTATTCAGATATATTGCTTCATCAAGCAAATGTACTCAGCCAGTTAATTTTCAAAGAATTGAACAAATTCAAAAAGCACGACAGGATCATTTAAGAGATCACTGGAAACGATTTCGCAATGTAATAAGCATGTTGATTTGTGAATCTGTGAAGAAACAAAAATAATAATTTGCATGATGCTTACAAATATATTTTAAAAATAAGTTTATTTAGCTATCATAGAAATTATGAAAGGTCGGATTATGAAATAATATTTATTATGAAATGAGTTTTTAATAATAGGGATAAAATTAATAAAATTTTCAATGAAAATAATTAATTTAGTAATAAGTAATAGTAATAATAGTAATTTAGTAATAATTTTCCTATTTATCCAATATTTTTCCGATTAGTTCAACTCAATTCTCTTGATTTATTTTTTAATTTAATTAGGCTAACTCTATTGGCTTGCTGGATAAGAAAAATTTTTGCCAAAATCTATCTAAATAAATAAGTAAAGAAATGCAAATGAGTCATTAGGCATCATCCTTGGAATTATTCCTGCCAGGAATAGAACTTCAGCTCTGGCTCTTCGAATGGGCAGCAACAGTACATTTAGCCATTCTACCATTCTATTAGTTAGTAAATAAATAAGTTTAAAAGTATTATATTGAAATTTTAGGTATCAGTTTACCCAAATCTAAGTGAGAAGATGAGAATAACAAGAACAATGCATTTATCATTTCTACCGACAAAACAGGTGTGTAGATAAAAATATCTGCTGCATTCATACAATAATTCCAGCGGATATGCTTTAGATAAGATATACGGATTTATTTAAATAGAAAAAGATTCAGCGTCTTTTTCGTAGTTAGTAAAAAACCATCGAAGGTGATGTTTGATCAACCAAAAATTATAAAATTATAAAAAAACTTTAGCTTCCACTATTTTCATGCTTAAATTTTTTATTTTTTGATATTAAAATAAATGCCATTTCAAGAGGATTTCAGATAATCGAAAATATAATGATAATCGAATAAATAATAATCGAAAAAAATTAAACATAAAAAATTAAAATTTTTTAGATAATATTTGTGTTGAACGGAAAACCGTTCAGAGTATATCGTACGGTACTCAATCCAATGCGCTTGAAAACTTTTGAAGCAGTTCTTCAAGAAGTTTCAATTGGTTTACAGGTCAGTTTTTAGAAAAATTTCTATGCTAATCGGAAGCAAAAAATTCATTTTCTATTTTTTATTCCATCAGAATTCTACAAAACAGATTTTTTATTATTTTCGGATAAAATCACTTTTTGATAAAATTAACTATGAGCTAGATTTTTTATTATCATTTATCATGAAAAAATTATTAAAAATTATTAATTATTAAAAATTAAAAATTATTAATTAAATTATTAAAAATTTCGATTGATTTTTAATATTTTAATTTTATTTCATTATCATTTCTTGATAAAACTATTTTTTGATAAAAAATTAACAGCCTCTATAAAATAGATTTGTTATTGCTATTTGTTGATAAAAATTAGCGACATTAGAAATTATAATGCATAAATGATTATAATTTATATTTATCTTTATTGCTTATTTCCAGAAAGAAGATAAACTATTTATAAATTTATTTATCAATATTGATCTCAATTAATGATTTCATTTCATTGGATATATATAATAGTTTTACTAATGAAATTTTTTATTTCTGGTTTATTCATTATAATTATTATTTATTATAAATAAATAAGGCAACAATTATGGGCTGAAATGAAGGATTTTATAAAGAATTACAGAAAAGAATTAATAAAACTACAGAAAAAAACTGAGGAAATGTAAAAAATTTTTCGTAAGAATGAAAGATATTACGAAAAGATTTAGAATAATTTGGATTTGGATTTTAACAAAAAACTAAAATATTATTAATATTATTATGAAAGGAAAAAAAAGTAATTTAAAAATTCTCAAAGGTGGCCATATTCAAATTGTATTCCTATTCGGGAAAACGTTTATTATCAATCGAAGATATATTATCCACGAGTGAATCTCGAATTCTAGCTGTACCAAGAAATGAACGACCAGTCTTTCGAGGAAACGCTAAAAATATGCAATTGCCTTCTATGGCTCATCGTAATTTAACGCTACAAAATCAAGAGCAGAATTCATTACGTATATTTTTATTTTATTGTTTATTTAAAAATTATTAACTGTCAATGTAAAATAAAAAGCATCAAAATATAAATTAAAAAAATTATTAAAAATTATTAATTATTAAAAACTAAAAATTATTAATTAAATTATTAAAAATTTCGATTGATTTTTAATATTTTAATTTTATTTAATTTAATTTTAATTTTAATTAAATATGATTTTTAATTACATTTAACTTTTTATATTTGTATTTACAATTATTTATAACTTTTTATATTTTATGAAAATTCATATATTTTATATATCGGAATATTTTAGCCTACAAAATGAATTCCACTGAGAAAACGGGCAATAATCGGTCAAATAGAATTATGATGTTGACAAGATTTTCGAAACAACAACGTATAACGAAGAAGGCAAATACGAAAATAACTAGTAAGAAAAATAAAGGTAAATCTATACTTTCAAACATTCCATTCAGAAGATAAGATTGTATTAATGTGTTAAAAGATTCGCCATATTGTTAAGCATCTGCAAATCCTCCACTGATTATATTCATTTAACTTTTCTAAGCTTCCGACTGATTGATTGGAAATGGGAAAGGCCATTAGAAAACTAAGATAAGAAAGTAATTCAGATTCTCTCTTCTTCCTCACCGACTCATTCCATCAGAAATCTTTGTTCTCCCTTAACAATTCTTTATCACTTTTTCATTCTTGCTGATTATCACCTTTTAACGTAAATTTTCATTAAGTCCTTTCTATTTCTATATTATGTGCACCTTACAATCATTTAATTTACGAGTATAGCCGCTGAAAAAGTGAATGAAAACCATGAGAGACATTGGGCTATATTACTATTTAGTAGGAAGGAATGGAAAAACCAAATTTTTCTTCGTAAAAACTTTGACAATTAATAGTTATACTCGTTCCACTGACTTTCCACGTTGGACAAATTTGTCAGGAGTCGATTGACGATAGAAGTACAGATGATTCGCCAAAATTGACGATAGAGGAAAATTAAATTAGTTTAAATGATTTTAAAAATGCCTGGGTAGTGGAGTAATATAAGTCATATAAATCATAACACGCGTAGTACCACGGCTCGATTCCTTTGAAATATATGAAAACTTTTATAACCAACAAATTTAAGTCGAAAAATTTCCCGAATTTTTTGCTTTGCTTTGTCACAATTTTCACCATTTTATTCCAACAATAGTTAGGTAACAAAATGCACAGTTAAACAAAAGAAATCTAGCAAAAATCATTTATTGCTGGTGGTACTTTGTAGATCCACGCTCGACCACAACATCGATCTATAGCTATTGGCATTTTAGAATAATTCTTCCTCTTAATGACCTGGCCAGATGGAGGAAAATTTTAATAGTATTAGTATAGTATATATATATATATATATATAAAATAGTATTTTCTTAAAATCTTAAAAAAATCTGGGTGCTTTTCCAAACTTCTAGGAGGTATTCTCATATTATAAGAATATTATAAATATTTGAATTTTTTCTATATAAACAAATGTAGACACTGGAGAATCTCATAACGATAAAAGGAGTGAATGTGGTGCAAGATTGTCACCAATTTCGAAAAGTACTGACGATGAGAAACCATTAGCAGTAGAAAGCAATGGAAGGCAATTAGTCACAAAAAATTCGACTTCATCGATTAAAACAAAAGATGATCATAAGGCCGGTGTTTTTTTTAAATATTTAGATTATTTTAATATTCTAAAAAATATCTGAAAATTTTTTTTCTATCCATCATCATATTTATTCTTTCTATTAATAAAATCTTTTATATTCTTGAAAATGTTCCGCAGAAAAATTAGAAAACTCTAAATTTTTAGCAAATATTTACCAAAATTTCTTTAATATTCAACGAATAAGAATTAAAAATTACATAAATGTTGAGAAAAGCTTTCATGTTATTTTAAGGTTGATGACCAAATTCAATCGCATAATTCTGAATTTTCCGAAAAAATGATAGAAATCGATGAATCGAATGATATGGAGAAAGCAGAAAGCGATGCTAATAGTGAATTAAAAGATACGCTCGAGGAGAACGATAGCACTAACGAGGAACATCAGGTTGATACGAAAGAAGAGAATAGTACAAGCGAAAAAACTGCGGTGGATTTGGATTATGCGACGGAGGAAAAATCTCGAGCAGCTACAATAATCCAGTCGCATTTCCGAGGTTATCGAATAAGGAAGCAGATTCAAAGTTCGTAAATTTTGGTTATCAAATAAGAAAACATCAATTCTATTAAAATCATCAACCAGATTTTAAAAATTTGCGAAACTTTTTAAAAGTTTTGTAGCTATAGCTTAGCGATTAATTAACTTTTTGAATTGCTAGTGATATTGGTTAAAAGTGTTAAGTGATAATGCTAGGTGATAATAATAATAAATGATAATGAATCCTGAAATATATCAAACTTTTACAAATAATTTTAGTTTTTTAAATTTTCTTCATTACTCTTAAGGGAAATTGTAATAAATATAAATAGAATAATTTATATTACAATATTTGTGAATATTTCTCAAAACTGAATAATTAAAGTTATAAAGTTGATTTTTTTTTTCGATGACAGACTGAAATCGGCTCAACGACAAGAAAAAACAGCGGAACGAAGGAAAATTTCCGAAGATGACCGAATCAACGCCGCAATTGTCATTCAGTCGGGCTGGCGAGGACATAGAGTAAGGAAAAAATATAAGACTAAAAGCGATGAATTAACTCCACAAAACGGTATTTAAAAAATGCATAATTTTTCATAATTTTTTCCTTCAAAAATCAAATCAAATTTTTATTTTAGTGTACTTTTTTATTTTTTAAATTTTTTCAAATCTTTTTTGATTAATTTTTTTTTTTAAAATTCTTTCAATATGATAGGTTTTATACAATCATAACAATTTCATGATTTATTATTTTATAATTTTTTTATTATCAATAAATGATAAGCAACAATAAATATTTGCATAATTTCTTTCAGATTTATTTGAAAAAAATGGGAGTGATAAAGAAATTCAAAATGAATTAGAAAGTTTAATGAGCGAATCGATTATTGCTGAAAAGCAAGAACAAATTTTGAACGATCCAACTGATAAAAATAGTGGGGAGAATTTTTTTTAAAAATAAAATTCATTTTTTAAAATATTCATATTCATATTCTTCTAAATTTTCGAAGAAAAATTTTACCATTTTATTTTGCACCATTTAAGAAATATTTTCAGCAATGGCTTACACCATATTAGTAGTTATTGGTAATCGGTGGGCAGCAGAAACCGATCAAGATCTCTTTATTATCATTTATGGTGAACATGGAAAAAGCGAAAAGCTTTATTTACGTCAGGATGTACATTGGTTCTTACTATATAACTTTAAGCTCTAATTATTGCTATTTATTGCTTAAATTATTGAATAAATAAAATTAAATAAAATTAGATAAAAAAATAAATGAAAAAAAAATTAAATAAAATTTGCTTAAATTATTATTTATTTTATTTATCATTGTTTTATTATTATTTTTATTTATTGCTTAAATTTTTAATTTTTTTTTATTGAAAATAGTATTTTAGAAATTATCATGGAGTGTTTTTTGCAGCAAATGAAATAAAAATAAATTTTTCAGGCATATGAGGCGAAATTTCGGCAAAACAGTATTGATAGTTTTCATGTGAAAATTGATGCACTTGGAATTTTAGACAAAATTATTCTAGGCCATGATCGTATTGGATACGGTAAGCTAATTATTTTAATGCTCCTTATTTGATTTTTTATGGTAATTTAGCGAATATGGAACCAAGAATTTTATTTGGTCCAATAGGTACTTGACATTTTTGATACATTTATAGGAGCGGGTGTTTTCATCGAACGAATCCTAATAGCGGAGAATATTGTCGATGGTCGGCAATTCTTATTTCAATGCAACAAATGGTTTGATAGTGGGCAAGCGGATGGTAAAATTGAGCGAACGATTAAAATCACCGCATATTATTTTATTTCGTCAATGCCTGATGATCCAAATTCCACAAGTTCACCTTTTCCTCTATCACTGATAAAGCCGTTTAAATATTTTGAAATAACTAAATTTTGAAATAAATTAGATAATTCCAAATCTTAAATATATAAATTTTATATATATAAAATATATATATTTTATATAAATCCTTCTTAGATATATAAATTTTCAAGATTTTTTTCAGAAGGCAGATGGGAATTAATAATTTATTTTGGTAAAGAAGATGGAACTGGATGGACCACTTCAAATTTGAATGTAATTGGATATGGTTCACATGGAAGTTCAGCAACCAACAAAATCTATGATAGCAATTTTACTAAGGCACCATCTCAAGCTTTAATTCAGGTAGAATGAAAGAGCAAAGAGAACCAATAGTGAATCAGTGAATCAAATATTGAACCACTGGACATAATAAGAATTACAGGTGGACTTTGGTGATATTGGTGATTTATTAAAAGTACGGATTGAAATAGACGGTAATGGCATTAATCCAGATTTTTTTTTGAATAAAGTCGAATTGAAAGATCTTGATACGGATGAAAAAATGGTTTCAATTGTTAAGAAATGGTTAAAATTCAGTGGCGCTGAAAAATATAATCAGCCATTTCGCGAATTTCCAGTTTTTCGTACAGCACTTGAACCATTATGCCGTTAGTTTTTATTGTTTTTTTATTTTTATCAAAAAATTTTTTGTCAAATTTTTTATAAGAAAATTTTCGAAAAATTTCTATTTTTATCAAAAAAAATCGTCGTTCCTAAAGAATTTTCTAAAAAAAAAACAAACAAACATAAAATCTAAGAAAATTTCTGATCGTTTTTTTTTCTTATAGGATAAAATGTGTAATTTGAATAATTCCTCTTTTTCAAGTTATAAATATTTTAAATAATAATACGAAATTTTTTATAGTTTTAAATTACGAAGGTCGTCTGAGATTAGGAAATCGACGTAATATTAAAACATCGCTATGTTTCATGCAAATCATTGGCGAATTAAGTGAAACGGGAAAATTCCCTATTAATATTGACCGTAAGCATTCATCGAAATCAAAGGTTTACTATTATGATAATTAATATAATTTTGTCGATTAATTAGACGAATAATATTTTCTTGTACTTTTTTAGAATTTTTATAGCGAAAGTTAATTTACTGCAAAAAAATTATATGTTTCTTTAATAAAAAAATAATATAAAATTATATCAGTGATAATTATTAGTTATCAATCAAAGATCACTTATAACTAAGGAAAGTGCAAAGGATAAATGGGATGGTCTAAATCCTAGCATCTTTGTGATATGTATTTATGTTATGTTATATTTTTAAATCTCTATATATATATGCCTTCCTCACCACTAATTGTTAAATTCGTTTCGCTAGCTTGCTGCACTGGAAAAATGTGCTAAGAAATTCCTTGGCGAAATAAATACAAGTGAGTCACCAGCATTACCTAGATTTTTGGACAGGCTTACTCTGACGGAAAATAGAGCCTCCGCATCGTCGCTCCGAATTGACCAATAACCCACTCAGCCATCCTAGATAGGTGCCTAGGAGAAAATGTGAAAATTTTTCCTTCAAAAACTGGCATTCGACAATTTCGTCAAAATCTTTCTCAGTTGCTGCTAAGACTTAAAAACACTAAAATCCCATTATTTCTCGTTAACATCACTATGTCTGTAGTGTTTTCTTTATCATTCTCTTAAAATCGAAGTACCTTCATTGATATCCCAACTAATAGCACTTGAGCAGTTTCGCCGGAACTTGCCATGCACTCCAGTTATTATTCCAAATCATAGTCCATTAACATTGCCTCACTGTGGAAACATAAACTGCCGGGAACTTGTTATAATCTTCCATATCCTCCCCTTTAATCATCTTAAATACTAGACCTCCCTAAATTCATTCTTCCGCCAAAACCCTGCGGTAGCGTTATTAATTTATTGCGCCATTTTTTCCCGGATATTAAATTTCATTGTACCTTTTTAATATAATTCACTAACAATTCATATGAATTCGCCTACGATATCTCAAATTGTCGATATCCTTTAATATCCATTAAAATCTCCTCTATTTTCTAAAAAATCTTGCATCTGTTCAATGCATCCCTAAAATCTTCAAAGCCCTTTACGCCTCTTAATTATAATCAATCTGTTAAGGTCATCTTAATCGCCTGTTAAATGTAAATTAGCGAAGCGGTGATTGGAGTATCAAAATATAGCGAAAATTGGATGGTTTAATGAAAATTAAATGGTTTAGCATAGGGCTGAAAGATATTGAAAAAATATAACTTTTTGGGTTATCAAAAGATTATCAGAGTTTTAAGACAATTTTTCCCCATCCGAAGTCATTTTTGAAATTGCATTATTGACATAATGGAAGAAGGAAGTTTTTTATTAAAAATTTTTTTCAACATCTATTTTTATTTTCGAAATAGGTTTTATTTAGGAAATTTTGTTCAAAGCAGAATCAGTATATATCGGCCGCATACATAGCGTACGAATTTATGTCGATTCAACCTCAATAGGTTGGAAATTTCAATTTTTTTATTGATTTCTATTGATATAGCGATTAGAGAGAATTTTTTATCATCATTTTGTGACTGATAAACTTCATTGTAAATTTCCTTTTGTTGTGAGGTAAATGGAAAATTTAGTTTGTGTAAGAACATTCCTCGCATAGATTAGGAAGAGAGAAAATGACTGATTTTTCTTTATTTTATTTTTCTTCAGATTTAACCTATAGAAAATCTTTTATTAGCGTATATTTGAAATTATTTTACTGGCAATTTCAGTTTTTAAGGCTTTCAAAATAGGCCTTGAATTTTTTTAATTTTCACAATATCATTTATTGACTACTTTTGGTTTGTTCCAAACCTCGTCTATATAAATTTTTTTTATTTTTTTTATTTTTTATTAAATTTTTTCAGTTTTTACAGCAATCTTTTTAAAATCAATTCGAAATTAATTGATTATTATAACTTTATTAAAAAATTTGAAATATTTATAAATATATATTTTCAGGTGAACAATTATATGAAGGAATGTGTATGTTACAAACGATTTACGACAATCGGTTTGTACCGCATATAGGAGTTGGAATTGAATGGCTCGTTGAACGAATCGTTATCCGAGAATCATCCCATACGCCTTATAGATTTATGCTTGGATATAGTCGAGTAAGAAATGCACAAGAGGAAAATGATATATATAAGGAACTTGTTTTATCAGGTAGAATAAAGCAATTTTTTATCTATAAGGCGTATTCAGGTCAAATCAAGCAGGGCATATTATACTATACGACGATTTCGACAGCGACAGTGTCGAAGTGATCTTATCCTAATAATTAAGAAATACAAAATAAAACAATAGCATAAATTTTATCAATGAATCGAGGCTATAATTTTTGACGATATTCATAATGTTTTCTTTTCATTTTATTGTAAAAAAGGTATAACTAGCTAAATTCTATATTATAGTAGCTCATTTTTCTAATAAATTAGAAAATCATGATCATGAAAATCATGAAAATCATGACACAAAACAATGGTCTTATTTCTTTAAAAAATTTTGGTGCTACTAAAAAGAAAGGCATATTTGGAAAGAACCGTAAATGTTTGAAACCATTTGGATCAATACAATTAAAATCTTACTAATCTCTAATGATATTAGATGAATCGAAATTATATGAATTTAATTTTAATTTATTAATTAATTTATTAATATATTTATTAATTCATTATTAATTATACGAAATTAGTTCCAGTTTGTGGTTAAATTAGGTTTCAGAGTTTATAAGGCAAGTAGAGAATATAAGGCAATGTTTGCAAAAAGTTTTGTTTAAATTCTAAACTCTTATAATTTTTTAGATTTACTACATCTAAATGAAGACTATTATTAAATTATAGAAATAATTGATGAAAAAATTATAAAAAATTAAGAAAATTATCTGAAATTTCTAAAAATTCTAATCAAAAACACCAGTATAATTAAATAAAATAAATATTGATTAATTCGGATTATCAGATTGTAAGCAAATTATCAGTATATAATGTTTGATAATCGGCGTATAATTAAAAATTAAATTATTGAAACAATCTGATAGATTATTTTGAAATTTTCTAATTTTAGAAAATTTTCTAAATTTTCTAATTTTCTAATTAAATTTTCTAATTTTCTAATATTCAATATACGAGTTATAAATTTTATAGTTAAAATTACGTGATTTAATTTAAGTTTTTAATCGTAAATTTTTCTTTAATTTTTAATGGGTATTATATATTGAAGAAGGAAACTTAGAAGTATGAAGAATTCTATTGGCATTAAGGTATGGAAGGATTGCCAACAAAAATAAGTAAAAAGAAGTCGCAAAAAAAACTATGTGCCCAGTGGATCTTATCTATAACAATTGGTGAGCAAAGTACTTTAATTCCTAAAGTAACGCTGTGCTCAGAAACAAAAAATGCGGAGATGGTTCTCGTTAGTCGAACAGCAACTGATGGAATCATCAACTTTCAGGTTTGTATTAATCTGAGCTATCAAAAAAAAAGCTGATATGATATGATTAGAAATAAAGCACCAATGAAGTAGATTTTCGATAGAAATTCGCTTTCACTTGCATGTTAACTCATTGATCAAATATTCGATTTTTGGAATTTTTTTGAGGGTTTACAACTGTTTTTTTTCACAAATGGGTTACCAAGAAAAAAATCAAATCTATTTTAATCAAATATTGAAATAAAGCACGAGTCTCTTGAGTCTCCTTTTTTAGGAGAAAAGTTCAGATATATCAATGATAACGAAAATTAGGATAGGAATTGATGATTCGGAAAGAATTGATATGACTACAGAAGGCGAAAATAATAGCGAAACACAAAATGTAGTTGATATCAAACAGGTATTTCTTAAAAGTTTTTTTTAAATTTTTTAAAATAAATATTGGATGTTATGAGGAGTAGAACAGCTCAATGTGGTTGTTGCTCAATTCGGAGCACCATTGATGAGGTTCTATTCCCCGCCAGAGTAAATCTAGCATTCGAAAATCTAAAAATCCGAGTGATGCTGGCATTCTAACCTGTATTTCTATAGCCTAAAGGTATCTACCTGATATTTGTCTAATTCGAGCCAGCAAAGCATTGTTATTAACAAATATTTCCTCTATTTTTTAAAATTTTTCTTAGATTCAATTGATTCCATAAATTTATTGATACTAATGTTTCATTTCGCTAATGATAGCTGCCAGCAAAATCTATATAAAGTGAATTTAAATCGAAACATTCAGATTGTTTTATATGATTCCGCAAATGGCGACGAACCAAGGTTTTCAAATGTTGGTGCAATTATGACCTCAGAATGTGTTGTAGAATACGCTGCTGTATGGCCAGATATTCCTCCGATACCTTGTATAATTCTTATACCAATTAATAAGCTTTTAAATAACACAATTTCTGATATAATGAGAAATTATATTCTGATATAATTTCTGATATATTTATTGCCTATCCATATTTATATTTTCCATAACATAACATTAATAAATGATGTTAAGAAAGTTAATAAGTTCAATTAATAAGTTAATGAGTTAAGTTCAATAACATAACGTCTCTATTAATAAATGAATTTAATTTTAAAAAAAATTAAAATTATTTATTAAAAAAACTTAAAATTAAAATTGAAAATCAAAAATTTAATTAAAAAAATTAAATTAATTGAAAAATTAAAAAAATTAATTTTGAAAATATAAATGGATAAATTCTTTGGTTTTATTCATAACATTATACTTTAATTCATTTATCAGTTAATTATCTTTATCTTTATCTTTAATGATAGACATTTATCAATCTCTTTCTGAAATAACATCAATAAAAAGATTATTTTTTTTTGCAACTTTTTTTTTGAATGTATTTTTGAATACTTTAAATGCAAATGGATTAATTGCCCATTAAGAAAAAAAGAAATGCAACAAATTCAGAAAATTAATAAATATTTTTTAAATGAAATGCGGATTTCTGAATAAATAAATTCATTTGGTTTTTGAATAAATAAATAAGAAATTATTTTATTTTAGATGTTAATTATGAAATTACAATTAATACTGGAGAGTTATCTGGAAATTTTATCGTATATTTAAACTTAATTGGTACTAAAGGCGATACGGGTTTTCGACGATTGGTAAACAATGAAACAAATCCTTTGCAAGCAGATTCGGTATTATATAGGATTATATAGATTCGCTCAATTCACTTTTACTAATTATTTTTTCTAGTTTAGAAATTATATATATATATAATTTCTAATATATATATATATATATACATAATAGGAAAAGCCAAAAAAATCGGCACTTAACATTTAAGGAAATTATTTTGAGGAAAATAGGGTTTTTGAAAATAGGTGAAATTAGGTGTCGGAGAAAAATACGATTAAAAAAATTTTTTAGTAGGAAAGCCTTTGAAAAATTTTAAATCAATTGAGATTTATTTAGAAAATTTGAAAAAATCACGAAGCATTTTACTTAAAGGCTGACGCTTTCTATTTCTTAGGCCTTTTTATTAGAATAAATAAAGATATTCATAGCTAAACGCTTGAATATGATTTATAAAAATCTATGAATCGCTTAAATATACCTATTTAAAATTATTAGCCTATAAATTCTAATAAATATTATTTAGAATAGTGTATTTCAAGTAAAAGCTGTTTCTATTGGCGATGCAAAAATGGCTGAAATCGCTCTAAGAAGCGAAAAGGTCTATCAATTTGTAATTATTTAAAATTTTATTAATATTAATAGAAATTTGATAAATAAGAAATTCACCTTAAGCATAATCGCAGATTTATTGATATTGCTTTTTGACAAGGCAATTAAAAAGCGGTAAATGAAGCATTATATATGGATAGATATTCACTTCAATGCTTTAATGCCTCAGGCAATTTATTTTTTCTTATAGCTTCTTTTTGCAGACACCTATACTTTGGTCATGTGAACAAATTCACGTCTTGGACAACGTTACGAATTTGTTCTATGTATTTCATCTTAAAAAGTATAGCATATATTTATTTATATATATATATATATATTTTCTAATTTTTTTTTTTAAGCAATTTTCAATTTTTATGAAAACCACTTGTTAAAAAATCAATAATCCATTTTGGCTAATATTTATACATTTATTCATTAGAGAGAACTACTAAAACCAAACACTACTGCTATTGAGCTAATGGAATCCATTCGCACGATTCATGTTGGCAAATTTTTTTTCCCCTTTTTTCTTTACCTTCATTTTGCCAACATAAGATTAGACCTAAAACAAAGCATTATTATGAGTTTGAAAGATATTTATGGATGTATAGTATGAAAATTTTGAAAAATGATTTTATAAAAAATTTTCTTAAAAATTCCCGAATTTTGTCATTAAAATTTTAGCATTTATTTATGATTTTTCGTAATTCAGGTTAGTTGATTTATCATGAAGAGAATATCGATTGTAGTTTTGCAAAAAACGTTTCCGTTCTCATTTTACTAAAAAAAATCACTTCCTTTCCTATTCCACCTTTTAAAGAACAACAAAATGATATATTTATGGTTAATTTTTAAAACAATTTTATATCATTTTGCTTTAGAGCCTTTTAATTCTTAGCTCTGGGGCTAGAATGGTTCAGTGAGTTGTGCTCAATTCGGAGCACCGACGCTGAGATTCGATTCTCCGCAGGAGTAAGCCTATACAAAAATCCGGGTGATGCTGGCAGCTCACCTGTATTTCTATCGTCAAGGGACTGACTCCCTGGCATATTTGTCTAGTGCAATAAGCCAGCGGAGCGGGTTTAACCAGTAATGCTGAGGAGTCTTAAAAAAATAAAAAAATTCTTAACTATATTTTTCTTTTATCTATATTCATTTTTTAAATTCTTTCGTTCCTAATTTTCATCTCTAAATGGAGTTTTATTTAGTGGAGAAATTGATAATATAAATTTTATTATTATTGATAAGAAAAATTCTACTGATAGGGCAAGATTATCTTGAAGGAGCTAGTAGTATTAGTAATGATAGTAATAAATAAAGTTCAATTTATCATTTTCAGTTCACTTTCAATTTATTTAATAATAGATAGATTGATAACATAAATTTTATTGTCATTGATAAGATGGTTTGTGGGATTTAATAGAAATTAATGATAATAGTAATAAACACCAATAGTAATAAGTTTTATAATATTAATTTAATTTTTATAAGAGAAATCCATAATGCTGTATCTTAATAACGTTATTTTGCAGACCTTTTTCGGATACGCTTAAAACACAAAAAATTGTTGTATCATCGCTCAATAATATCTAAAAACTAATGGATATACTTTTAATTTATTAGAAAGCAAAGCGATTATCATATATATTTGTTATTATAAAACTCACCAAAAATTGTTTGCATATTTTATTTATTATTATTAATAATTGTTAATGCAATTTTTAATAAAATAATTCGATTATTTTAAATGATTTTTGAAATATTCAAATAAATTAATCTGTCAAATTATCATTAAATTTAATGAAAAAATTCGCGTCTTATCTATATTCTTCTAAAAATAAAATGGTTTAACGCTCATTATTTCTCATTTAGTTTCCTCTACTGGCTGCTAATATATTATTAGAAAATTTTACTAGGAAATTATTTAATAATAGAAATAGGAGTGGGTCGTATGGTCTTTTTTTTCAGTTGGCAGGTTTACTCTCAGGAAACGAGGAAACGAGCCGTCCTATTACCTCCTAACACGGCAAATCTAGTCATATTGCTCATATTGCTCAATCTTGCCGATAAGGCAACAGAATTTTTGACTATATATATTTTTATTAAAATTTGTCATAAAAGAACAAATAATGGCAAAAATCTCATTTTATTAGGAAACGCTATGAGAATAAAAACTGAGTTAAATGCATTTCGTTCCTAATTTAATGCAAATCTAATTTGTTGAATCGAAGTTATTTTCTCAGCTTTTTGACAAATAAACAATAATTTTCTAAAAAGGAATTTTCATAAAATAAAATTCTCAATTTTCTTAGGTAAATGAAATAGTTTTTCCAGTAATTTCTTGAATTAATTGAAGTGATTTCCCAGGTAATTGCTTGAGTAAATGTTAGATAATTAAAATTTACATGAAATTCTAAATTGATAAAATATAATTCTTTCTTGAAAATTTCTCATTCAACAAGCTTATTCAATATAAGAACAAGTTGATTTTAGCATTAAATTACAATAATTTCTTTCACGCAGCTGTTTAATCTTTATTATTTGCCATTTGGTTGATTAATTGTTTCACGAATTTTCAGCAGAAATTTTGCGAAATAAAAACGAAATAAAATATCTATAAAATTATTTAAAAAAAAAAGAAAAATATAAATTTTATTAATAAATAAACGCAAAGAAAATCAATCAAATTATGAAAATTCAGAAAAAAAAAATTGAAAATGAAAAAAATTAAATAATGGAAATAATCAATAATCAATTGCTTTATGATAATTGAAATTATGTGAAATTCATATGTTTTTAGGAAAAAATTTTTTTTATTTTAGATAAGAAATTCTAAAATGATTAAAATATTATAAAATATTAAAACAAATAAAATGATTTATTGAAAATTCAATTCAAATAGATAAATAAGAATAAAAATTAAAATCTTTAATTTAAAAAAAAAAAAAAAAAAATTGACCACGATTTTAGCTAATAAAAAAAGCAAAAAAAAAGCAAAATCTCGAATTTGAATTTCAACGATTTTTTTTGCCCATTTTAATTTATTTCTCGTAGAATTTTTCTATTGAAATTGAATGAACGATAAAAATAATAACAATAATTTTATTGTTTAATTAAAAATTTGTACTCGAATATTCTCGGAAATGCTTATCCGGAAAATATGCAAAAATATAAGAAATATAAGGATTCAGGAAAAATTTGATGCATGCACCTTCAAAAAAAAGGTGTAATTTTATATATGTATATATACATAATATCTTTAATATATTATATATAAATACTATATATAAATATAAATATTATTATATATGTATATATATAATATGTATATTATATATATTATATACATATAATATTTATATAATATATATATATTATATAATATATATAAATATATATATAAATAATCCATTTCATCCACCCGCATAATGATATATTTTATGGTTGGTTGAAAAATTTTTGAGATTCTTCTACGACTCGCCTTCGCTTTTTTTCTTTTATCTTCGCCAAGTTTCATATTATAAATTTTCATTTTTCATTTATATTTATTAATGCTTCGCTAAAATTTTCCTGTTAAATTTCTATCTTTTAGTTTCTTAAATTTTTTTTTATTTATTTCAATTATTTTTTTAAAAATTTCTAAATCTACTCACAACAATTTGCTTATTTTTCATTTATGTTTATTATATTTCCTTAGGCTATTTCTGATTATTGCTTCGTTTATTCTCTTTTCTATGCTCAATAGTGAATGAGTTTTTTTTTTTTTATTGCTCCAATTACAATTGAGTTAGCATCATGGATTTTTTTTTCTTTCGAAAAATACTTTAAAAAATAGAATTTTATAGTTTCTTCTTACTCGCAACATTTAGCTTCCTCCATTGGAAACCTAAGGTGAGATTTCGAAAATACCTTTCAGCCATTTCTTTTTTACCACCGCTTGAGACTAATTATATCATTGTCTCTATTAATATCCTAAATTTAAAACCTCCTCAGACCATTTCCTATTTTTAATTGGTTTTTCTCATTATTGGTCATAGAGTTATATAGTATTGCACTGATTAATGCCTTAAAAACTGTTTTATAATCAACACATCGAACATTGAAAGAAGCCTGTTGAACAAGCATACTAATAGGTGTAAACATGCTAATAGGCTTTCATGAAGTCATATCATTAAATTAGCCAACGCTTGCAAAACATTTCCATAATGTGTTTGTTTATACACTTTAGAATCTATTTAAAATATTAATTTTATCGCTTTCATTCAATATATTTTTATCTTCGTTCTATAAATTATTCAATCTTTCTTTTAAATTTTTTTAAAGGCTTTATGATTCTTTGAAGAAAAATTTTTTAAATATTCAGATTTAAAATATTTGAAATAATTTTAATATCGAATTTTTTTTAAATTTCATCGCTTCAATCTTCCCTTCTATTTTTTGAAAAATCCTTTTTTTTCTTCTTATTTTTGTCTTATTTTTATTTATTTTGTTCTTATTTTTATTTTTATTTATTTTTATTTTTTTATAAAAATTTAAAATTTTTTGAAATTTTCTTAAAATTTAATTTATAGCCGTTTTATTCAATTATTAACAATCAATTCAATTATGAACAATCATTGAATTAATCAGAAAATATTAAATTTTTTTTTAATTCTAAGAACGTCAGCATTCCTTTTCTTTTTTTTCAATAATTTGATAACGTTTGACAATGGTTCAAAAGTTTTTAAATAGATCATCTTTGGTTTTGATGATTTTCACTTCTTTTTTTCGCCAATTCTTTTCCAAGTTTCAGTTTTCTCATCAATGCAAAATGAAATTTTATGACATATTACATTCTTCATTCGTTATATTGTTGTTGAAGTTTTGTCATTATCGTTTTTTTTTTGGCTACATCTGCTCTGATAAGCTTAACTGATATGTGATTATTTTTATGTTCAACATGGTGGCGTATTTCTTTTTAATCATTTCGCTCTTAAATTTTTTTCTAACCCTAAATATTTTAATTATTTCATTAATTAATTCGTTCATTCAGTTTTTTTCTTTAATTTTTTTTAATATTTATATATATTTATTTTCGTTCGCATTTTATTTGACATTTGACTTTTTTTAATGAAGCATTAGAAATTTTTTTTCCGTATTTTTCATGAATCAAGAAATAGTTTTTGTTGCATCATCCCATGTTCAAATTATTGAACATTTTTATGCGATATTTGTTCACTCATAAATCTCGTAGAGAATAAAAATTCTTAAAAAACTTTAGCAAAATGATATTTTGCGACTTATGTTTGCTTGAATTACTCTAAAATATTGACGGTTTTCATGTCCATAAATTTCCATATATTATTTTTAGATTTATTCTATTCTATATAATAATTAACAATAATAATAAATAGATTTATTCTTTTCTCAATAATCTAAAGAATAATTGAGATTTGCTTTTTTGAATGAAATTTGTCCAAAATTTTGAATGGAATTAAAGTCGTTTATTATGGTGAATTTTATTAGATTTTGTTTTAGTAAAAGAGGGGGATGGGAATTTTAGAAATTTGAATCTAAGAGTCGTTTAAAATTTTACATATTTAATATACGTTTTAATATGCGAAAGTAGCATTTTGAAATGCACTATGGAAATTAGCCGACGTATTCGATCAGCCTTTGATTTAAAATTCAATTACGAATAAAAATTAGGTGATAAACCTTTATCATTCGGATTAAAATCAAGCTATTTTTT